TTCCATACATGTAAACTATAATTTTGAAATAAATTGCAATTAAATAATTTTTGGCATTTCATAAATTTTGGCAATTCAATTCAAAGAGACGTGACTGGAAAGCCAGAAAAGATTTCAACATTTGAAATCCGAAATTTGAAATCCGAAATCTCCTGTAATTCAAAATCTGAAATTTTCTGTAATTCTAAATCTGAAATCTCCTTTTAGGAGAGAAGCGTTTCAATTCAAGGGTCATTCTTTATATCAATTAAAGATTTTATGATTTTAGATTGAAATCAATCTTGATCCATTTCCAATTCACGGGAATACATATAGATTGGACGTGCAGATCATGCCGAAAACAACAAGTCAATTGCTTTAATTAGTGGGATATGGACGCAGCGTTTTGGCATAAATGAGTGAACCGTTTTTTTTTAAAAAAAAAAAACGCAAGCCCAGAAAATTAATTTTCTCAATTCATATACAAATCACCAGTACAATAATGCAGCGGAAAAAAAAATTATTTCTCAAATTCTTGATGGAAAACATTCATGTAATTATTAAAATTACTATTGATGGAAAACTATAAATTCTCAAACACATACTCTAATACCACATGTAAAAATTTCACATAATATTTGAATGATCAAATAGGATCTTAGAATTCATAGTTTTCACATATAAGATTAGATAGAAATACTAACCTTGATCCATGATGAAATTGATGACTTTGAATCTTGTAGAATTTGTAAGAAGAATCTTTTCTATCTCTTTCCCTTTATCTTTTCTTTGTACTCTTTATTTCTTGATGGTAATTTTTTAAGAGACAAACTTTCATAGGCAGAGATAGAGACTATCATGTCCTTCTATTATATATATATTGTTTCCATCAAATAATATACCTCTTCATTAAAACATAATAACTCCTTCCCAAAAGTCATACCCTTTCATTCAAAATAATTTAATAATATATCCCCAAAAGTTATATCATTTCATTTGCCACACACACGAGATATTAATTTCTTACAAGTCTTACTTAAGAATCTAAAAAAGATATTTCCATTGAAAATATACATAAAACTATAATAATATTCGACAACAAATATAGAAAATTTTTCTTTAGTCTATATTACATATATTTCATTTGAAACAATCTTATTTAAGTTGATTATAATCCAGACGCAGTTGTATAACAATATTTATGTTCAAAAGTTTTGATTAAGCTAAAATAATTTTACATAGTTAATTTATCATTTGGAAGTAAAAATTTACATGATTTAAACTCGTAAAACAAACCACTTTTATTGTAAAAGATATTTACACAAAAAGAAAAATGACATAAGAACACACAAAATGTAAAAGGGGAGCCGATGGTAGTACACAAACCAATATAAGAGATAAAATAGAATGCAATAATAATAATAATAATAATAATAATAATAATAATAATAATAATAATAATAATAATAATAATAATAGATGGTGATGCCCATACACTAGTGTTGTTTTTATCATCAACCATATCAATTTGTTTTACGTTTGAGATTGACATTTACGAAGTTTTAACAAAAGAATATCTCCCTCATTTATACTCTTCTACGATTTGGTAATGTTGTACTATTTAAAATCTATGAAATATTGTTTTTAGTTAAATTTTATTTTGGGCAAATTATAGACCCTTGTACGATTTGGTAATGTTATACTTAACATCCTTGCCATTTTTAATCTTACACAAATTTTCTTCCATTTACATTTTTTTTTGGACCAACCAACAACTTGTTGGCTCCATAATATTGCTTTTCTGCTTTATTGGATAGCCTTAGAAAGCGATCTTACAAAGATATTCGTTATGCATTGTGTCTTCATCAAGCTCAGGATCGAGCCTATTTCAAATATCAATCACTACTCCTAAATTTTTTCTTTCTTTCAATGATAATGATATATATTAGTGTTTTTTTTTTCAACATATGAAGTTTTTTTTTGTCTATGTATAATATTTTTACTTTATAAATTAAGCTTTAGTAGTTTTGTCCTTGAGTCCGTCTCAATCACATGCCTTACATGATTGTAATCTTCTTTCATGTATTTTATGTATTTTGCAACCACTTAACAATTTTTTCTTCTCAAACTACCCCTATTATATAAGGCAACTTGGCCTTTTTAGGTATCAATTTGAACTCATTTCACCTATTTCTTATTCTTACGGACTTACGCATTAAAATATTTTTAATTGATTGTCATAAAAAAATACTTTATTAAATAATAATAATAACACAATAACTTATATGATTTTTATTAACACTTTTTTTTAGGATGCAAGTATAATTATCAAAAAGTTGTTAATTCAAGCTATTTGATAATTGAATTCTTAAATTAAGGACTGAGGTTCAATCTGAATCTTGAACATGATAATGTGATTAAAAGTATCAATTTATTTATATAAAAATTAATTTAGGAGTTATACTTTTTATATAAAAATAAAATAAAAATAAAAATAGGATGTAAGTAAAGTAATTCCCTCCAAGTAAAACATGTTATATATATTAGGAGGTAAAAGATACTTCGTGTCTCTAAATATTTTAAAAAAAAATAAAAAAAAATATAATAGTGTCATCGATTATTTAAAATTAGTTAATGACAGTTAATAAAAGTATTTATCTTTTCTAAAAAAAATGGAGGGTATAGTCATCAACAATTGTGGAAATGATGGTTATAAAAAGAAATATTTTCTTTATCTATAAGTATATATATTTGAAGGGCACATTCACGTAATATCTAAAGTTGAATACCAATAATTAATTTGTGCCTGTAAAATGTAATTTTTGCTAGTAAAATATTATTTTAGTGCTGATAATAATATATCTTAGGAACACATAAATTTTTAAATAGCTATCAAATTAATGTTTATATTACCTTTTGTTATTAGTTATTAATTATTACTATCCATATTCTTTTTTTTAATAGTCATGTTCTTATATGTAAATTAAGAAATGTAATAATTTTTTCATAAATAATTTTTTTTTGGATCACCTAAATGATTTTTTTATTATATTCTACTTTTGTTATTCTATAATAAATGTATATTAGTTGCTAATGTATAAGCTAGTTAAAGTTATATGAGATGTAAAAATATTATTAACAAAATAATAATTAATATTGTCTTGAATTTTGAAAATAATAAATAAATAAATAAATAATTCAAAATTTGATAATTAAAAAAAGAGTATAATAAATAATGTGATATAACATATTAAATGTGTTTTTCATTAACACAAATATTTAAATAAATATCATCTTAACAAGGACATTAAATTAATTCTTAAATTATGAAAATAGTGAGATAAATTTAAGGAAAAATATATTTTATAACTTTCATCTACGATTATTAAATATTCATAACACTAATAGTTTTATTAGTCTACACTTTATTGAGTATTCATAAACTTTCATTGAATTCTTTCAAATCCAACCATACACCATCAAATCATGATGGGATCGTGACAAGTTAAATTGGTCTCGTACCCAAAATGTTGTGATCAATAATAACTCTTCTATCTAATTCTATGAACCTCTATGAATAACCAAGAAACTAATAGTTTTCCCTTTGCTTAAGAGTTACAGCAATTAATAACCACTAAGCATAACCTCATACAAAAATTGTTGTGTGATTATTAACAATCTTTGATTTTTATTCTACCACATTTTCATTCACACATACCAAATATGTTTTTACTACTTTCTTGTTTGTACTTTAATTGATTAGAGTTATCTGTCACCACCATGAATTTACTCCCAAATCTCATTCAACTTTTGAGTCACCATCCATCAAGAAGTCATCACTTTCATGCAATTTCATGTAATTATAAATGAACCAAATTGACTAGTGAATTTGAGATAATAATTAACAATATTTCTAGTTGTATGAAAGATAAAAAAGGTCCTGATAATTATAAATTAGGGATGTTTGACAATACAATGAGAGACTCATCCTTTTTTCCCCCATTTTTATCTAATCTTTTTTTTTTCTTTCGTAAAATCAAGTTAACCTAATGTCTTTTTATTTTCATTAATGTCTTAAAATTTTGTTTTAGATTAATTTATCTTAAACGGAAGATAGATAAAATCTTATTAATGATGAATCAAATTCGGACACAGCTCAAATAATTTGATTTTACTTTTATCACATTAATCATTTATATTTAACTCTTTAATTATAATATCTTATGTTTTAAAAGAATCAAAATAACATTTTATTTAAAATTTCACGTGAAACGGACCTCCATAAATTTCAAATTTTCTTATACGATTTAATAGCATAAGTTAATACGGGATCAATTCGATCATTAGACTAATATTTTAGGCACGCATTAGTCAATCTTCATTTTGTAAAGACTAAATTGAATTTCATTTAGTTTATTTAATTCATTGCAATTATATTGTTTTCTTTCGATAGACATTGTAAAAATAATCGCTTTATATCGTTAAAATCTTGGCTATAATAATTATCGCATGAGAAAAAGGAAAAGTGTCATGAAAATCTGTCTTTTAACATTAAAAAAGGTCTATAAAAAATTTGGCTTCTTTCTAACGTGTAAAACAAGAAAACACGTATAAATACATTATTTTAGATTGTAAATATAATTTTGGTTTAATATATCAATTGAATTTTGATTTTTTTTTAAAGTTAGATTCCTAAATGTTAAAAACTTGCAATTGAATTTTTTATTTTTATAATCGAGCCATTATAACAATTTTAAGCGTCGTAAAAATAATAATTTATGACAATTTTATTAGTTTTAGGGACTTAATTACAAAATTATAAAAAAAATAATGATTAAACTATAATTTTTTAGTTTAAAAATTTATTTAGAAATTTTAAAAATAGTTTAGGAACCTTATCAAACTCATCAATTTTTATAGCATATAAAAATAATATATTTATTTATTTATCTTATTTATATTAAAAAGAAAAAAGAAAAAAAAAAGTACCATCATATCATGTATTCATGTAATTGAAGATCATGATTTTGACGACAGTTAAAAAATATACATATGCTTCAGAAAACGCAAGCCATCGAAGAACTCGAATCATCTAGTAGCTCAATCAAGGTGAGCCTTCTTCTCAACCCTCATTCTTCCTTTCTTTGATCACTCAAACCCATTTTTCCTTTATTGAATCTCAATTGAACCCCCTAACTATTTCATATAATTGAACTGCTTCTGCGTTGTTCATGACCCCCCACAAGTTAAAGACACTACCTTTCTGCTTTGTTCTCGCCCAATCCCTTGGGAAAGGTATCTGTTCTCTGCTCGGGAACACGTGAGCAATTTTTCATTTGGCGGGTCTCATTAATTTCTGAGATTTCCTGAAAAATAACAAAACCCTTGAATTTGGGAGCATTGGATTGAATAGACTGTGTTGTCTTGTTTGATTGTGGCATTAGAAGGGGTTTTGAGAAATGGGTAAGCCTTTGTTTTATGAGATCTTGGAAAAGCCTGCCACAAGTTGCATCATAGGAATATGTAGCATGATTTGGTTCTACATACAGAAGAAAAATATAGGGTATTCGCATGTGGGGCTGAGTTATGAGACTGCTGTAGAAGGGCATTATTGGAGGATAATTACATCTGCTTTTTCCCATATAAGTGTTATTCATCTTGTTTTTAATATGAGTGCACTTTGGAGTCTTGGGGTGGTAGAGCAGCTTGGTCACTTAGGCCTTGGTGTTGAGTACTACTTGCAGTACACACTTGTGTTGGTTGTTGTATCAGGAGTGCTGGTTCTGGCAATGTATCATTTATTGATTCAGAGATTCAAGCTTGAGTATTTTCGTCGAGTGACGGCTGTTGGGTATTCCTGTGTTGTTTTTGGGTGGATGACAATTCTTTCTGTGAAGCAACCATCTTCCAAGTTGGATCTCTTTGGGTTTCTTTCTCTTCCCATCAGTTTTGCTCCGTTTGAGTCGCTTATTTTCACTTCAATCATTGTTCCTCAGGCGAGTTTTCTTGGCCATTTGTCAGGGATTGTTGTTGGATATGCTATAGCATGGGGTTTGATTCATGGGATGACCAATTACTGGGCACTTTCCTTGTTGGGATGGATTGTGCTTGTATTTGTTTTGAGTTTGAAGAGATCTGGTGCGCTTGACCTAAACTTTCTTGAGATTGAATCTGTTACTGATCCTTCCTTGCCATCTGTGCGGTTTTTGGCATCAAACAGTGGCCGAACACTGCAGATGAGTGCGTTGCCAAATGGAAATGTTGAAATTGTCTAATGATAAACTGATATATCTTATGATATCAGATGTTGCCTTCACACACTCAATATTGATAGCAATGTGATTCTAATTCTTCCAATATAGAATTTGTTTAAAGCTTCAGTAATATCCTTTTTAAGAGTTTGCATATTTAGTTATGTGATAATGAATGTTCTCAAATGCTGTATATCCGCTTTTTGAATTGATGCTGCTTTGCGAATTTGCTGCTACTTTTTGCCTTTTGTTTAATTTGTGTGCTAGAATATGATTCTGTCATGGATGATTAGATCATATTGAGATATATTATTACCATTTTATTATATTAGAAATTAGTGACTAAGTTTATGGAAGTGCCACTCTTATTATCATGCAGGTAATAAAATGATTGTATCCTCCTTGTTCCCTCTCATTGAGATATATTATTACCATTTCCTTTTTTTAGTAAAAAAATATTTGTATTATAGATAATACATGCTTTGTGATTTTTGGGTTTTGAGTTCCCTGCTTTTTCCAACAAAAGCTGAAACTTTTGCTCCGATTTGGTTCTGGTTAGAACAATTTCTGCTCAGTAGCCTGTAAATATAAGCAGTTTGGAAGGAATACTGTTGGTTCAAATTTGTTTTTCAGATAGAATTTCTTTGCTCTGAATTTTGCGTTGCCAGGCCTAGGTTTGTGGAACATCAAAATTTTGCTGGCTGCACGTTTTGAGTGCTTTGTTGCAGGGATAAGTTTTAGAAATTGCATAAAGTATGTTGTGCAGATTTGTGGTGTTTAGTGTTGGAATTTGAATGCTTAAAAACAACTTTAGGCGTGTTTATTTTGCCATCAGGCTCCGTTGAACGGAAAAGGTATGTGAGATAACTTTTCCATTGAACGGGACTTTAGGATTCATGCTTTTTCTAAAACAAACACACTATTTGTCATGTAGATCGTAGTATACTAGTACTACTTACAACATGCATAATTGGGGGGGCAGGAAGGGGGTACTGGGGAAAATCCGGCCCCCAATGGGGTGGGGAATGGGGATGAGTACCAAATTTCATCCTTTTGGCTATCAGGGTTGAGGAAATTGTAGGGAGTCAGGGGCGAAGAAGGAAAAACCCGTCTCGTTCCACTGCCATGACGTCCCGTTGCCATGCTTAACGTCTAATATTTTATTGACTATATGAAATGAGCAGAGATCATCGAAGGATTTGGTTTGGATTTTCATGATTTATGCTGCTTGTCACCATACAACCTGAACTGTAGAACAACAATTTATAATGTCTGAAAAATTAATATTCAGCTTTATATAGTTGGTTAGCCGTCTATTGCATTTCTGTTCACTTGCAAAGCTTATTGTTGACGATGTTATATCAAGTGATGACCATCGAAAAGATGCTCAAATTGGTAGTTCAAAGTCCTCTAAAGATTTTGAGCATTAATGTGGTTCTTCGTGGTGTAAAACAAGCCTCAAACTGCTATGTGACGATATGTTGATTAACTAAATTGATGTTTGATGTTTTTAAATGACCAACTTGATGTTTGTTGAATCTTTGAAGGACAAATTTGAGTATTTACTCTAAACCATTATACATCCACATTAAACTTCTTTGATGACCCTATCTAACTTGACAATTTTGCATAAAGGGACAGTTTTTTAAAATGAAAATTTACTTTTAAAATTTTAATATCAACTAATTTCATTATATGTGTGTGGGTGGCTTTTTAGTTGATTGTATATATATATATTAAATGGTTAAAAAAAAGGGTCTTGGTTGCTTGATTGAGTTAGGGAAAGCCCCAAATTTTTGTATATTATACTTGGCAATCTGCAATCTTCCCCGCAAGAAAACTATCGAACTATCATGGAGATTAAGGACTCGTTTATTTGATAGTTAGATAGAACTGATTTTAATAGAACTAATTTGAGTTATTAAATGTAATTGTGACGAGCATTCAAATTAATCTCACGTCATAGATTTATATCGAAACCGAATGAAACATGTATTTTTTTTAATTGGGAAGTGCAGAATTGATTTTACAATTTCAATAATTAGGTGGTAAAATAACAGTAATTGATTTGACATCAAACTCATTTCTCTAGTTTTTAAAGCTATATTTCTGCTCAAATCAATAACTAATATTGTCTAAGCCAATAAAGCAACTGATGGTTGGATATTTATTTAGGCATAAATACATGAGCAGAGAATGTCATATCCTATGACAAGTAATTGGCAGATAAGCCGATCCAGTGATAACAAAATAGGAATGCTAGCTGCAATTTCTTCTGTTCACTGTCCTTTCTCTCGGCATATCCCCGCATCTCAGCTGGGACAAAAAATTGCAGGATTGTCCACAATTCATCTCAATTGGAACCTCTGTACGATGAATTCAATTGCCTTTAGGTTGTATATTTACCAGAAGGCGCTCGATCCCCACATTGCAGAGTTCCACCTTCCACCTTGAATTAAAGTGTAAAAGTATTTAAACTACAAGAATGAATTACTAAAGAAAATATACAGCTAAAATTCTTTATGTTGCCATAAAAGAGGTGCATAATGATTGGATAATGGTTATAATAAAAATATTTAATTTTTGGTCTTTGAACTTTTTTAAAAAAAAATTATTTAGGTTCTTCATCTTTTCATGTTTTTGTAAGTTAGTTTCTGTTATTAGAAATTCATTTATAATCAGTAAAATTTTATAAAATATTTTTAATATCATCATACCTGAACAATTATATTCAATTATTATTCTGTGTCATCATTCATATGTATCAAAAATATTTTGTAAAATTTCATAAATTGTAAAAAAAAATTAACAACAAAAACTAAATTACAAAAATATAAAAATATAAAGGGATTAATTACAGATTTCTTATTTTAGTTTAGGAACCTAATTAAAAAATGTATTAAACCTTATAATTTTAAGTAGCAATATACGTTAAGTTTTAAGAAGAACGACTTGAACTCTACCTTTAAAATTGTTAAAAGAATAACCGCCTGCAATGACCTTCCCTCCCTTTCAATTCTTCTGTATATCTGTAGGCAAAATCACAATACAGAAAAAACAAAAAGATTCAAACAAATAGAATATATAATCAAGGTACATTTAACTTCAAATAGACACTATGCAACCTAAAATTTATACGCGGGGATCCCTTTTTTGAGCCGATTGACCACAACTTACTGTGCTCAAGCTCTTTTGATGCGATTCACTATAGAGTTGAAGTCATACATGGAATAATTAAGATCAGAAAAGAAAGACAAGATGTTGTAGTCAGGATTACTAACATAGAAACATTGCCAGCGGCTTTTATGCTACAAACCCACAACGAAATATCATAATATTTACTAAATACAAGCAATCAGTAAGTGAACCAACAAATGAACCAGAAACAAAATTGGTTTCCATTTCTTTCCTCTCTTCTTTCTTACCCTTACTACAAAGGTACGTTTGAACCAAAAAACTAATGGATATTGATCACAGTGACAACTTCCAACTTTCTTGAAGAAGGGAAGCAAAATATAGGAAAAAAGCAGGTTTGTGGACAGTCGAGAAGCACAAGCCCTAAATCTAAAGAGAATATTTTAAGGGTTAGCTTAATTTCCAAAGCATCTATAATCATTTTAAAAGTTGATCACAGATCCAAAATACTCACCATTTCTTGAAGTCAGTCGGACTGTTTTTGTGATCTACAGTTTTAGTATTTTGTGAGTCAGAAGTAGAACCATTTTCTTGAGAACCTTTAAGAAGAATCTTCCCTATTATCTTCCACCATCTTTTGGGTGAAGATCTTTGTAAACTATCAGTGCTCAAAACAGATGATGGCTCAATTTTCCTGGCTGAAGCAGGATTGAGGTTAGAAAATCTGAATGCACCTAACAGTTTTTCTGGAAGCTCTGATTCAGCTTGGCTCTCAATAAGGAAAGCCAGATCAACAGTCGTAGTGGTTATGTAACCAAATGCCAAGTGAACTATAGCAGTTGCTACCATGGAAGAACCAATATCAATATCTACTTCCATGAAATTCTCTGCCACACAGTATTTACATGAAAGGGCACGCCCAATTATGCATATTGCTTGCTCTCCAACCGCTTTTCTCACAATCCAAGGACCATTGACAATGTTGGCAATCATCTTAAGCCTTGAGTTTCTGAAAGCATCATCACCTTTCAAGAACTTGTCTATCAGAGATCCCTCAGCAATAGGCTCTTTGTTTGTAAAATATGCCACTGCACAGTAGTTATCCTTGGTAGGGAGTTGAATATTGAAGGCCCACACAAAAGGTTTATCACCAGCTGGAAACTCATTATCAATGATCTTCCTAACTCGGCTATTTGAGTGCCTCAATATCTCACTAATTTTCTCTGAACTTCTAATCCAATCAAATCCAAGAGACTAGCAGGAATCTTAACCTTTGTCCTAAAATACTCAGGACCTCTAACTTTGAATGCAGCTCCAGGAGGTGAAGCCCAACCATTTGAACAGTTATTTGGATCAAGAAATGGAATGGATCCTTCAGATCTTATTCTATCTATCCATTCAGATTTCTTTAGATCACCAGGGTCGGCCATGTTTACTGTTTCCAAATTCCAAGTAAAATACAATTTAAACTTATGGAAACCAACAAATGTTTTTTATACACACAAGTCTAGGGATTGAACATCTAACTACATGCTTGGTTAAGTTATCTGTCAATCTCATCACACGAAATCGGTTAGTCTTAACTCTTTCTGCAGTAAAACAACTTCTTGGTGCAATTTAATTACTTGCCATCTCCAATGCAAACAAAGTCTATATAAACAAAGGGTATTGACTATCGCACTGTTTCCATATTTCCATTGTCATCATCCACATGATAACAATGATTGAATTGAGCTATTTTTATGATCATGGCAATATATCTTAGACTTGTATAATTTGTGAAGAAAATTATTCTAGAAATCATGTAAACCCCCATTGAAGAAAGTAGAGTAAACACGTGCAGTTTGATGCAAAGTCAAGCAATGAGTGCAATCTCTGAAGAACCCACATTTAGAACTTCATATGCTTCAGCAACAACCCCAGATATGATTTATTTAAAAATATATGGCAATTCAACAATAGATTATGTCATTGGCTATATATTAAGCACACCAAAACGTAATTGGCTGGTTTATCAACAAAGCGAAACCAATGCTGAGGCTTTTTGGATCATGCAAGGAATGAATACGTACGTATATGAATTATGTGTGTGTACGTATATTCCAAATTCAGATACATAAACATGCAAACCTGTACACGCAAACAAGGAGCCTCTGCAGAACTTATTATATCACAATTGAGATCTGGAATTTAAGATATGCTTGCTACAATCAAGATCAGGAAAACCTCAGAAGTATAAGCTAACCGATTAGCGCCCAAGAGACGTAGACAAGAAGATGCAAATCCATTAGCATTCTTCTTTTGCTTTTCTTCCCTGATCCTATTAAGAAAATAAAACCTTTTTTTTAAGTTTAATTTCACTTTACATAATAATAATAATAATAATAATAATAATAATAATAATAATAATAATAATAATGTTATTATTATAATCCTATGGAAATTGGTAAACTTTGAGTTGAATTATAGAAAATAAAATAAAATCACGATATCTAAGCATCATAATCAGTGAAGGCTAGTTTCGTATTTCATACATTCTAATTTATTCATTTAGTTGTGTGAATGATTAAGTGTGTTTGGTTACTAGTTACATTACATTCATTAAAATGGCCGTTTAACCTAAAGACACAAACTCTTACGTATCAGTTTCATGCTTTGGAAAGTGTGAAACGCAGTTTACATCACTACAAACGATTTCTAAACATATCCAAAAGGATTTCCGAAAAAAATCACTTCATAATATCACATTTTCATGCCCAGTACAAGTTCTGAAAATAATATTTCAAGGAATTGTTGATTCTTGGGAATATAAAATAAACACATTTGTCTCCCTTCTTTCTTCCACATTTTGTCTTGCACCTTTTTTATTTTAATTTTATATTAAATAATATTTTTTTTTCTATAAGCAGAATGAATTAAATTTCTCTTACAAAAAAAAATTAAATTATGCATCCCAACCTTTAAAAAAGTTAAACGAGATTCTATAAACGTTAAAGTGCATAAGTTAATTTTAACTCATGAGAAAAACTCATTGTCGAATTCTATTTTTCTCAAAAAATTCAATCTAATAGTGTTGTTATTTGATTAAAATCAATTGTGCAGACATGCTCAGATATCAGATAAGATATATATCTTTCAACATGTGGATGTTTTCAATCTAATACCCTTTGGTTTCTAAAAGGCTTTTCAAATTTTGAATAAGTTCTTACATATTATCCATCTATATCACAAATATAGGTATGTCAATAATATGAGGAAAACTGATTACATTGTAAGTTAAAATTTTGAGATCAAAATTGTGGTTAAATATTACACATTTAACGTAGCATTTCAATGCACATCAAGATGGTTCAAAAGCGATAATCAGTTTATTTGATAAAATTATACTGGACACCAAACATGAAATGACATATAAAAATCTATAGTTGCACACTAGCCGTTAGATTAGACAAACGGATAACATTTGGACATCTAAAATTATATACAAAAACGATATTTGCATACCGATAATATACTTAAGCCTTCTAAGGTGGTGTGTCACATCAACCAAAAAGTAAAAACTCTAACTCAGCAAAAAACCTAAGATAAATTTTATTACTTCCCTCAGTCCCCATTACTTTGTCCCTCCCATCCCTGTTCTCCCTTTTCACCTAGAAGCAAATTTAAAGGAACAGCCAAGGCAGCAGAGTGACTTTACCTTCTTGTTGGATCTTTCTTTGGCTTCTTCCTATTTAGGTAAGAATGAGGGCCTGTGAGTGGATAGAGTCATGGATTGCACCTTCCTTTTCAAATCATGCAAGCTATTGTGGAGGAAATGGGTAACATCCTCAAACTCTGCAGCAACTTCTGCAATCTCATAAAAGTCGTTGCACAAATTGTCACACCTTTGCATCTGTGGCTTCAATTGTGTCACATCATAACTACTCTTAGTATATGAATGTCTCCGTTTTATATTTTTGCTCCATCTTGGTAAGATATACTTTGATGGCACTTGTTTCACCCTTTCTTGTGCAAATACAATAAGTGAATGTCTACACATAATGCCTCTAAACTCAAACAATAGACAGTTGCAGCTAAACTCATGATTGTCACGATGAAATACTACCTCAAAATTAGCTTCCTTTGGCTGTTCTCCAACTATTATGTCCTCCAACACATCATAGGTACAAATGCTACCTTCCACATGCTTAAGGGACACAGAACAATTAATTTTTGCTCTAAATTCAGCTTGCACCTCATTAAATTTTACATGGGTATAAGCATATTGGAATTACTTTTCAATCATTGAATTTGATCCACAACGAATAATAGTGTTGAATGATCGCAAATCTGCTTCAAATTCTTTTTCTGCCTTGCCATAGAGGGCATTGTCATACAGTTGAACAAACTGTTGCAAAGATGTTTTTGAGTTGATATATCCATCAAAAAAAGGATGTATTTTCTCACCTCGTTGAGTGGTAGACAATCCTGCCCAAAAATCCTTCTTTAAGAAAATTCGAACCCATCTGCTTCGTTCATTGTACAACTCTGTCAACCATTCATTGTCTTGTAAGCTGAATCCTTTTATGAAATGAGTCCACTCATCTTCAAATCCAGCTTCTGTGAAGGTATTATAAACTACACTTTTCACGGCCTTTTTTATATTCTTATTATATTCAGTGTTTGTTTTCAACTTCTCGGGGATTTTTTTCATTATAAGCCATAAACACCATCTGTGTCGAGTTTTTGGAAAGACTATCTGAATTGCATTTTGGATTGCTTTGCATTGGTCAGTCACGATACCTTTTGGAGGATTGCCTGACATGCAACGAAGCCAGGATTCAAACAGCCACACAAATGACTCTGTGTCTTCACTTGAAAGTAGACCACATCCCAATAAAACATATTGTCCATGATGATTAACACCAACAAAAGAAACAAATGGCATGTCATACTTTTTTGTTAGATATGTTGTGTCCAAAGTAACCACATCCCCAAATGAATCATACGTTGCTCTACTTCTTCCATCAGCCCAAAATACATTTTTCACATGAAAAAAATCATCCAAGTCTATATCATAGAAGAAATTACAATTTTGTTCCTGCATCCTTAAAAAATAACTCATTAGAGCCTTGCCATCACCTTCCTCTCCAATTGTATGACTTACCTTCTGAACATGATTTTTTACATCTCGTTCAACAAATGATAAACTTCTGTACCCTCTCACATCACAAGCAAGAGATTGGATGGTCTTGTTCATCACTAACTTTGCGTCATGATTGGTTTCGATTGTTCTGTTCACATGCATGCTAGTGTTTTTGTTTACTTTGAGCATCATTGCCTTTGTAGGGCTAAGTTCATGAGAGTGGTCAAGAACTGTTTTCATTATGTACCACAGTCCATCTTTATAGGAAACTGTAATTCTGGCTTCACAATTATTCTTGATTGTGGGCAATGTCTTCAAAGTGTTTGGCATACGAGTTCCCTCTCGTGAACAAGTTAGTATAAAGTATTGTAACTTCCCGTCACGGCCTTTTTTTGAGTTTCTTACTTTGAAACCAAATCCCATTCTAGAAGCATATTGCCTATAAAATGATTTAACAGCTTCCCTGGATGGAAATGACATCCCTGGTGCTGGCTCGCAAAGTTCAATATCCCCATTCATGCTATCATGCATAATTACATCTAGTTCATCTACTTCCTCCATGCATTCAGCACCATTATCTACACTGTTTCTTTGCCAACATTCACCACAGTTATTTCTATCCTCCATGAAAGCCAGTTTTTAAACTCCAAAAACCTGCACAAGCCTTTTTCATGTTACTAGAACATTTAAGTTGATATCAATTGCTATAGTAGCAACAATAAACTACTTCCCCCTAATTACAATCTCATAGCATAACAGTTCATCAAGTGCACACATCGTCAAAATATAAAGAACAAATGTGAAAAAGGAAAAAAAAAATACACGAGAATAATTCAACCATCAGTGAGTAAGAAAACAGTCTTCACCATTCAGTATCTTGTTTTTCTCCAGAACTAGGAGTTTAAAGCATAAACACAAGTTTGCCAAAGAGAAATTCACTCAACCAAACATAACTACAGTACTGGAATAATAAACCCTCAATTACAAAAGTTTTTTTTTTGGTAAAAAGACATTTTTCATCCCTTATATTATTTATTAGTGTCAATTTAGTCTCACTTTAATTAATTGAATCAATTTAGTCCCTCATTTTTAAAATGTATTTGAATGTTTGACCTCTTGTTTCCTCTGTTTAAATACTTAACAGATTTGACACGTGTCATGTCATCATGTCACGTGTCATGCCATGTGTCATGTCACGTATCATGATAGCATGACACGTGGCATGACACATGTCACATCCGTTAAGTATTTAAACAGAAGAAACGGAAAATCAAACATTGAGATACATTTTAAAGATGTGGGACTAAATTGACAATAATAAATAATATAAGAGGCAAAAAAAAATATATTTTTGCCTCTTTTTTTTTAATCAAATACAATAGTTAATAGCATTAACCAGACACTTATTTGGCGAAGTTGGAACATTGAAGTGCGGAAAGTTGCACTCTCTATGATATTGGAAACACCGAAGAGCAAAAGCAAGTACAGGACATTTTATCAAACATATGAGGAGCATTTGGGATATTTTTTTTGGAGTTGCCCTAACAATAATGGAATGAATTTTGTATGATTGCAAAGAAAAAAAGGATTTAGAAAGAAAAAGTAAGCATGGAATGAATACACCTACTGCGTTTGTTGTGAAACAGAAACAGAACATGAGTAGTGAGAGAGCAATGCAATGGAGTTTCTCTGTTTCGTTTGGATGGGTGGAGCACAATTGGCGTTGGTTTCTCACTTCATAGTTACATTCACAATTTCACAGACTTAAAGAAGTAAGCAGCTCTTTTTTAGTTATTTTTATCTATTCTTGGAGATATGGAGATATGAAAAGCAAGAGTGTTTATTCTTATATTTGTTAAAAAATCATATAATAATATTTTTTAAATATTTTTTATTTTTGAAAAAATATATTCTTATGAGTAGAAGAACTTTATTCTTATATTTTTTAAATGTCAGAAAATTAAATCAAGCCAACAATTTTGAATTGCAGCAACAGGAACTTTTAATTTTGACTATTCAAAATTAACTGCACCGTCTCAAATTGGAATTTGGAATTCCACAATTCAATTAGAGCCACAAGTTGAAATGATATTTACTACAATTCTGCTGTTTGTGAGTTGTCAATTAATATTATAATGTTTTGTGAAGCCTATAAAAGGCTAATCGTGTACCGAGTATGTAGTATCATATTTCAAATTGAGATATATTGAAGTAAACTCTCTCTCTTCCTCTCTTGTTTTTTCCATTGTGCGTATGTGAGTGAATTTGATAAAATTATGTTCAAATGATATCAAATTGGTATCAGAGCCAGAGAGTCCGGTGATAGTGTGAGTAAAAAAAAAATATTTGAGTGAGAAACAAGAGGGTTCTTGCTTTGTTTAAAATGGGGTGGTTGAGCGCAAAAATAGATACCTAATTGAGACCACTCGCACCCTTTTACTTCATGGTCACATTCCTCAACCTTTTTGGGGTGATGTTGTTCTCACCGCGTGCTATCTCATCAATCGAATGCCCTCTTCTGTCCTCAACAATCAAATACCTCACTCTATTTTATTTTCCACTCAACCTCTCCACCCTCTACCTTCTCGCGTCTTTGGATCTACATGTTTTGTCCATAATCACAGTCCTGGTCTTGACAAACTCCCCGATTAATCTCACAAATATGTTTTTTAGGGTATCTTAGGTCTCAAGAAGGGTATAAAACTTTCTCACCCTCTCTTCGTTGTTACTTGATTTCAGCTGATGTCACCTTTCTTGAGTCTTCTCTCTACTTTCCATCTACTTCCTCTTCTCCTGCACCTGTCCTTGACCCTTCAACCATCCCTCTTGTCTTTGATACTCATCCTATGTCTGCTGTGTCACCCGACCCACCACCTCCACCTCCATTTCAAGTTTGTCATCGTCGGCAACGCTCCAGCCTTCCCATTAGGCCCTCAACTGACTCTACTTCGGTGCCACCACCTTCGTCCCCTCCGGCCCAACCACTTGAGTTTGACCTCCCTATTGCCCCTGGAAAGGTAATCGTTCTACTCGTAATCCTTCTCCTCATTATATTACTCTGAGTTATCACCGGTTATCCCCATCCCAATATACTTGTCTCTCTTCTCTTTCCTCTGTGTCTATTCCTAAAACTGTAGGTGATGCCTTGGCCCACCCTGGTTGGAGACAAGCCATGATTGATGAACTGTGTGCTCTTCAGAACAATGGTACTTGAGATGATGGAATCATGCCTAGGAAGGCAAGGGGTGACACATTGAAGGAGCCAAGAGGAATTGGTTAGACATGAAGGTTTGGGCCAGTCAAGGCCCAATGGGCCCGATGGGCGTGGAAGGCCCAATTTGAGCTTCACATGGGTCATCTCTTAATAAATCCATTTTTCTTATATTTTGTACATATTATATTAGTATAGGTTTCACATATTTTGGTCTTGTATTTTGGACCACATAGAGTAGTATTTTTGCGCCATAGGCTTATTGGGCTTAGTTTTGGGCTTTGATAAAATTGTTTTAATTTTTTATTATTATTATAATATATTTTATTTTTTGACTGAAAGATTGATTACTTCTTTATTCATTAAAGATGTCATAATTTAGTTTATAAATATAAATTATTTTTTAATTTTTATTTTAGTTTTTAACCCTTTTAATTTTGTATATGTGTTGGTAGAAGAGGATCCAAATTAAAAGGAATGAGAGTAATTGTTATATAAATTTTTTTAATTTTTTTTACTTAAACATATTTTTAAAAAATAAATATACTCTTATAAAAAAAATAGGCATAAAATATTTTTGTTTTAAATGACCGAAAAAATTTAGAATAGATACAAAAAAAATAGTAATTATATTATCTTTATCTTAATAATTTATATCATTTTATTTCTCTAAAATTAAATAAGTCACTAAAAATTGCAACATCACACTTAAATATAATATCAGATATAAAAAAAAATGAGAAATTATTACTCTATTTATGAAAAAATTTTAATTTATAAAACATAGATATATTAAATTTTTTGTCACAAAAATATATTTTTTTAAAAAAAATTATAATATTTTTAATAAAAAAATTATAAAATATTTTATTATTCTCACTTAACAATTGTTTTTAGATCAGTCACTTTCGGTCCCTAATGTTTTAGTTCAATTGGTTTATTTGGGTTCCTTTATTATTATTAAAAGGTGTAATTTGGTATGTTTTAAAAATCAGTCGTGTGATTTTTTTTTTCCAATTGAAATTAACCACGTTAAATTTTTTTATACGTGACACAATTAAAAGAATGACATATGCAACTACTAAAAAAATATAACTTCGTTTGTATATGTTGATTGTTTGTTTTGATTTATTATACCATTTAAAGCGAAATTAGATAGAAAGTAAATATGCTCTATAGTCAACTAAGTATTTATAAAACATTATACGGTCATAATGTTATTTAAACATGTGTAAATACTTTAGTTTAAACATATGATTAGATTCATAAATATATTTTAGTTTAATATATTATTCGATTTTTTAATTTTTTAAAAACTTTCAATTAGATTTTTAAACAAAAAATTGTAAATAGATCTTTCAACTTTATATACTTTTGTGATTTAGTCTATAAAAATAAAAGAATAAAAAATTACGGTATATAAAATTTCACAAAATATTTTAGTATATATATATTAAAAATATTTATTAAAATTTCATAAACGGTTAAAAAATTCTTTAAAAAAATATAAAAAGTGAAAGATCTAACTATAATTTTGTTAGTTTAAAGATGTAATTAAACAAATTTTACAAAAAAGTTCAGGGACCAGATATTATATCGAGGTATGCATTTATAATGACATCTCACCATTCAAAAACTTTAAATATGAGAAAATATTTATTTTAATTTCTATATTTGTGAATAGAATTTAAAGTCGTGTAAATCCAGCGGTTGTATTAAAAGTATTTAAAAAAAAGAAACACGTATAATAAAGTGTCGGGGTAAAAGAAACACATGCTGAATGAATATACTATGAACCCATCCTGGATTGTCCAAATGTATGTTATTAATTATCGTCATGGTGCACTCTGCCTATCACAGGAAGCTCCAATGCAATTCACCAAATCTACTCTTCATTTCTGTACCAAATACTGTATATAGATATTGATTTGCTTTTACCCCCCAAAAATGATTTTTTTAATCGAATATTTTTTTATTGCAAATTCTATTCATGCTACTTATTATAATTTTACTATAGGATCTGTCATAATCATCATGATCGGCTGTATCAAAATATAATCCTATAATATAATTAAAATAATAATAAATAAAAAAAGTGTTAAAGAACCCACGGTGTGATTATATAATATTAGAGTTTTCCCAATCAAGTAATCAATGGTATCAAAAGAAAATCCTATTGTCCCTTCGGGGACATCCGATAATAAAGGAAAAGAAAACCCTATTCAAAGAACCACTAATTTGGCTTTACTTGTATACTTGTATGTGGCATACCACTTTCCACTAGTAAAATGACATTTATTGGTTTGCATGCGTAACACATTTATTGTGTGATTGATATTAATATATATTATTATCCTCATAATTTTTAAATTAACACTTTAATTAATAGTTTTAAGTCTGAGTTTTCTTTATGTTCCTGAGTTAGGATACACACTTCAATTATCTTGGTCGTCTCGAGTCAGGTGTAGGGTTACGGTCTTCTCGTTCTTGTCCGAGTAGTCCGAAGCGAGGTTGGGGGTGCCTGCAAAGACACTCCGACGCTCAAGTTAGTTCTCGGCGTAATAAATGCGGTAGTTCAAATATTTTCCACTGTGCGTATGTGAGTGAATTTGATAAAATTATGTTCGGCTGATATCAGTTTGGATGGGTGGAGCACAATTGGCGTTGGTTTCTCACTTCATAGTTACATTCACAATTTCACATACTTAAAGAAGTAAGCAGCTCTTTTTTAGTTATTTTTATCTATTCTTGGAGATATGGAGATATGAAAAAAGAGTGTTTATTCTTATATTTGTTAAAAAATCATATAATAATATTTTTTAAATATTTTTTATTTTTGAAAAAATATATTCTTATGAGTAGAAGAACTTTATTTCCATGATAAAGAGGTGGATAAATGATATTCTATAAAAGTATTGGAAGTTATTTTTATAATCTTATAACTTCTATTTTTATTTAAATTATTTTAAATTTTAAAAAAATATTAAATAAATTAAACATCTTTTTTATATTTTTTTATATATAAAGTAAATCTTTTCTTATATTTTTTGAAATAATATACTAGATTATATTATTTTTAGGAATATAATTTTCAAAAATCTAATATTATTCCTTTAAACAAACTTTCCCTGCGTGAGAAGGGAAAAAGGCTAAGATCCAAAAAAAAAAAAAAAAAAAGGGGGAGGGGGAGAAAGAAAAAAAAAAAAAAAAAAAAAAAAAAGGGAAGAGAAAAAAAAAAAAAAAAAAAAAAAAAAAAAAAAAACAGTTGCCACATAACATCCTATGACTTGTGAATAAATTGCTGTAAAAAAATGACTTGTGAATAAATTGCTATTGAGCATTTGGGCTCATCTCTTGAATTGAAGGGGGTTAATTGGGTCTCTCAAATGCATCTTTAAAGTCTACAAAGAACATCTAAAATACTATATTTTTCAGCTCAAATGATTACATTCTAAAATAAAAATAATCACATTTAATGGCTTACACATTTAACGCGGCTGCATACACAAGGCAGGATTCGAACTCCTGACCTTGCTTAAGCGTGAATCAACCCCTACCACTGAACCGCACGTTTGGGGTTAATGGCTTACATATCTAAACCTCTATTTTTTAACGAGTGTTTTTTGGAAACTATTTTCCTGCACATTAATTTGTGGCATTTGTCGCAGTGAATATTTAATTTATTTCTTAATTATAATTTTTTCCTTTTTTTTTACTGCAGATAATTTATACCTTTTAAATACTACTATTATTTAATTTTAATTTTACTTAAAATTTTAATAATTTTACAGTATCCCAAATTCAAGATGTTTCCTTTAGATCTGATAATCTGAGTTTTAAGATTATAAGTTAATATTTAAAAAAAAAAATCAAATTTAAGCACATTATGTCGATAAAAATTATATATCTTAATTTAAATAATTTAATTTAATAATTTCCATTTCAATTTTAAATTTATATCTTTAATTTTTTATTTACTATAATATAGATTTCATTATTAATAAAAATAATTTTCCATTCTCTTTAGTTTTTTTTTTTGTATAAGTTTTATTTAAACTAAAATACCTGTATAATGCACCGTAAACTTATTTGCATGGAGTGTTTCGGTGGGACGATAGTTTGGGGGAACATAGAGCAATTCCCGCGGAAATTGTGAGACATGATTTTTACTATAAACTGTGCAGGCATAGCCGCGGGCAAAACTCAAAAGCAATTGAAAAGACTTAACAAACATAAATCCGCCCACAGATTCTTAACCAAAGGTGCCAAAGAATTTCATATTTCCAAGATACAATGCATAATTCTCGATCTCTGACTATCTGTACTGTTCATGAATAAGAAATATAACATTACTGTGATGTGACCTAAACAATCTCTAAACACAAGACAAAGGGTATTTATAAGGTATGAAGAAGAGAAGGCAATATGTAGTCTCTAAAATCTTTGGCCGCTGAAAGATTTACATTTGATGAAGTACATTTGATGAAGTGTTGTTTGTGTCCGCCATTTGTTGATATTACTGTTCCTGTTGCTGTTGTAGTTGATGCTAAAGTTGATGCTGCTGAAACTGTTGTTGCTGCTTCTGGGAATGAATTTGAAGTTGTTGAAACTGTTGTGCAGCTAAAAGAGTGTGCATGGCCTGATTGTTGGGATAGAATTGTTGCCCCCCACCAAATGAAGAAAAATTTATAGGTCCTCCATTTGGCACAACTTGTCCAGTCAGTACTTTCAAATGTTGAATTTCATCTCTTAATGCATCATTTAATGCTACAAGTGGGAATAAAATACGATGAATTAATTCTCGTAATAGAGGAACTAAAATCAAGATAAACACTCCATGCATTAGGTAAATTTGAATTTTTTCAATTCAATCCTAAAACAGATATTCAAAACAAAAGGATGAAATTACATTTCCAAGCAGAAGAAGGATAAGAGAAGAAGTGCATTCTTGGATTTGCGTCAATTTTATTCCAAAATCACTTATTCTCACATTTTAATGCAGAAGCTTGTATTGTCAGCTTTTAGTTTTCATGTCAATTACTGGTGTGGAACGAAACACACAAAAAAGTAGAGCAGCAGCTCCAAACGTTTATAACAACATGAGCTTACCATTTTGCAAGTGGACCTGTTGCTCCATGGTTTGCAACCGCAATTTCAACTCGCTGTTCTCAGTAGTCAGTCCATTTGAATCTCTCTGCTCACAAGAGACAAAAACATATTGATTACGATCCTTATTATTTGCTTTTCAATCAGAAGGTGGCATAGTGCAATAGCACACCACTGAGAGGACGGAAGGTCTAACCCATCTGAACAGCAGTCACAAATTGACAGAAGTGGAATAGAACAGAAAAGCATACAACATAAGATGAAGATGACGAGTTAAGGAAATACTTGCAAGAGAGTTAACTGTGCAGACAAGGATGTTGCTTCTGTTTGCAATGTCTGCACTTTCCCTTCAAGCTCAGAAATGTAACGTATCTTCCTTTCTTTTGATCTTGCAGCAGACTGTCTGTTTGCCCATATCCTATCACACAAATAGGTAGTATTGGTCACAGTGGTAAGGTTTAACTTTTAAGAAAAAAATTGATGGAAAGTGTTTTAAAATCAAGAAAGTATGACAGATAGACAGTACGCCCTCGAATTTTAAAATGCAGGTGAGAACAAAGAGGGGCGAGTGTGTATAACAGACTAGGAAATAGGAATGCAGAAATGCCATATATATATACAAGTTGGAATGTTGATTTACTAGAATAGAAAGGTGAGCAGATGGTTCCTGCTTAGGAGGGGAAAATGTATGCAATTTCTTCCACAAAAGTATATCAACAAGACAACAACCCCATGCAAGGTGGACAGAAAAGTGCAGAGGCAGAAAATAAGAAACTGAGAACAGAATAACCATGCCCCCATATTTTTTTTTTTTCACAAAGTAACCTACCAGAACTTCAAAAACTATATTAATGCACAACCCATACAGTTACTTACAACAGGTAAAGAGTAAACACAGTAACAGATACCACTAAATTCAACAATGTAAACCACAATTGGCAATAGATTAATGTAATTGCTGTGCAGCATGAAGCGAAAACATAGGTATTAGTTTATTTTAAGTTTTTAACTAATACCCCACAGACAAACCTAGTACAAACACCTACAGTAAAAAACTGCCATTAGCTTTACAGACTCAAGCAATCAGAGCAACAGCCAGAAGTCTACCAATGACAAAAGGGAATTCTCTGTTCACGTATTCCTTTTAATTGATAATTTTGACACTTTTCTTTTAGTACATCTTCACAACCTCGCAGTCTTAATCCTCCCTCTCCTAATATCAATCACAAAAGGGTAAGTTATAAATAAATAAATAAAAAATTTACCATAATTTTGATAGTGTTAAGCATTTTATTTATTGAAATTCTGTAGAATTTTCTGGGATATTGCTACATGAGTTAAAAAAAATTCTGAAAGAGTTCTTTCTAGTAATTTAGTTTTACTGTAACTTTTACAGTGTTTCCTAAACTCTCAAGACATTTTCTTGGTACAAGTAGACCTTCAAGTATTAAGTTATTCGCTGGTCATACTACAAATTCAGGAGCACTTTTCAACAGAAAAGAAATCACGTCTGAGAGGTTCTAAAACCCAAAACCTTTATTTTCTCGTTCCTACTTCAACATTGCTTCTGGACCTAATTCTTCCCCAAAGCCGAAGCCTTTGCCAGAATTATTGAAGCAAGGCAATGTCTATGCAATGGATTTGAGACTATATGTAAATACCCTACAATATCATCCATGCCACAAACAATGCAATCACAAGAGATATGTCACCACAACTATGATGACAGAAATGAAGAAAGAAAAAAAAAGATTAAATATGTTTTTAGTTTCTGAACATTTTATAATTTTCACTTTTAGTCCGCAAACAAATTTTATTTGATTTTAATCTTTAAAATTTTCCTCCATCAACAAAAAACCTTGACGCTAAGAACTAAAAATGTTAACGGAAGGAGAAGTTCAGAAACTAAAAGTGAAAATCGAAAAAAGTTCAGGAGCTAAAATTAATAAATAAAAAATTGTTCAGAGACTAAACGTGAAAATTAATAAAAGTGAAAATTAATAAAAGCTCAAAGACTATCATTTGATAAAAAAAAAATAAAAATCTGGAGGCAAATATCATGCAGAAAACCTAGAGATCACCCCCTGGGAGAAATTACTTTCAAATAGCTATATAAAACCAATTCAGAAACAGACACTAGGCATTACATTAGGCAGCAGAATTCCACGCCAGTTGTCATGTTGGACTAAAGATAATGGGGGAAAAAAACAAGGAACTGTCCATGAACAAAGAAACAATAACAGTATCAGTCTTTCAGAAAAAAATTATCCATTGTTATCTGTTCAATTCAATATTAACCACAACCTAGTCAATTCTACCCTAACCTTCACAGAATTTTGATTCCTTGACACATTTATGATGAAATTAAAAACAGAGAAACCAAAAGCAATAAACCACAGCCAAGTTAATGAATGAAGATATATATTACCTTTTGGCCCGCTTGGGATCAATTAAGGCAAGCTCGGCAAGCTTGGCAGCAGATACTGCCTTCTTAGTATCGACGGCGGAGACGTCGTCGGCGCCGGAAAGAAGCATCTCCGGTTGGATGGAACCATCGATGGAGTGGCTATGGTGGTGTCTAACCCTAGCGACATTGTTGGTGTTGGTGTTGTTACCTTGAGAGGAATTGTGTTGATCAAAGTGGAGGGAGAGGTTGAGCAAGTGGTGGTCCACGTCGAAGGTGATGTCCTCGGGAAGGGTGAGAATCTCGGAATGGGCGCGGCGGTGGCCTCTGTGGGGCTTTTCGCTGATGTCGTCGGAGTCTGACGTGGCGGTGGTCGGAAAGGGTGACGGAGAGGATGATTCTGATCTGTCCTTGTCCATCAGTGAGAGATGGAAACACAGCCCCAACACTTTCGCCAAAACAACACACAAAATTCACACACCAAACCTCTTCTGTTCCTCTCTTCCTATTCAATCTTATCCTCCATTCATACATCAAATTATTTAAATAAGCAAAAACTACATCTTTGTTAGACAAACAAAGAAAAAAGATAAAAGATATAGGTATCATATTGGGAAGAAAAAAAATTACTTATATGTTGTTTAGTTGGAATTTTATTTTGTTATTATGTATTTATATTTAATGTATGTTTTATTAATATATGATTGTATATATTGTCTAGATAAAATTTTAGTTTTGATTGAAAAATAATATTAACTGTATTTTTAAAAATTGGACCTAAGTTTTGTTATATGGTAATACTATTTCATTTTCTATATTAAAAATGTTAGCAACACAATTTTTATTATACATTCTTTTAAATATATTCTCTTATTAGTTAAATTTTATTGAAAAGTACAATATTTAATGGGTCTTACACCTTATTTGATGATTATTTTTTATAATTTTGTAGTTTTTAATAAATTGTAAGTATATAACCAGATGTGTTAAGAGTGTGTTAGGGAGTGTGTTACTAACATTCATCTTCTTATGTATAGAAATTTATTCACTTTTTTTTTGTCTCTTTTTATAAGACTTTTTTTTCTCTAATTGTTAATTATATTAATTATATCTTCCCTAAAGTATTTTTATTTAATTAAAAAATTAGGTCAAAGATAATAAATATTTGAAACTAATTGAATAAAAAAAATTTACTGTAGAAGATAAATAGATACATAAATATCTTTCTTCTAAATATTAATTATTTAGATAAAAAATAATAATTAAGTGGAAAGAAAAAGAATTAATTTAAAAAATGTTAAGAGTAATTTTTAAAAAATAATTTAGATTATTAACAAATTTAATATTTTTAACTAAATTAAATAATTTATTTAGAAAATGTAATATTGTTAAAATGATATTATAATAAGAGAGGGGAAAAAATGTTACAAAGTGTTTAAAAAATGAGCTTACAAATTTAAACTTTTTCCTCAAATTATATAAATTCATTTGCTCATGCCAGTGCAAGTTCTCCGGTGGGTTAAACTTGAAAAAAAATACTATATAATGATATAAAAGAAAATAGATGATGTATTAATGATTTAAACTACTTTATTTAATCACAAATTATCATTGTAATAAAAAAATAAAAATTTACTCTAATAGAAATATTTACTTAATTGATAATATAAAATTATTTTACACGTATATGATTATTAAAGTCATTATATTATTTAACTACTAGGGTTAGTTTAGTGGTTGGGTGGAGAGAGGTTGGAATAATTAGAAACATGAGAACATAAGTTCAATTCTCGACCATCTTTCTAATCTTTCTTATCTTTACAAAAAAAAAGTCATCATATTATTTGTTAATGAATACACTTATAATGTTGAGTGCTTTCTTTTGTTTGTGAGAGAAAATTAAGACGAAAGTTAACTTAGAAATAAAAATTCAAATTTTTTTTTTTTTATAGTTTTTCTTTAATTTGAATTTCAAGTTTTTTCCTTTTCTCATTTTCCTTCCACTCATTCAAACATAAAATAAATATATTTTCTTCTATTTTTAATTATAAGATACAATTTAAAATAAAATTATGATTATTTTTATAAAATATTTTATAATTTTTATAAATACTAATTTTATTTATCATCTTTTGTTTCCATTAAAGATTGTGTTAATCAATAAGTATCACTCCCTTCACAACCATTTAACATTTTCATGGTGAATCAACAAAACATAAGTGATGTTAAACATAAATTAACTACAAGACTAATTTGGAGAAAAAACATGTTTGTGTAAAAACTCAAATATATTATTTTTAATGATAGAGATAAAAAGGAAAACTTTGTGCAAGTATAAAAATTAAATAGGTAATTAAATTTAGGATTATTTTTTTTAACATGTATTGGTATGAAGTATTTACTAACTTTGTTAATAACTAATATTCTTTAAGAAATATAATTAGTCACCTTTAAAGATGTCTTCTTTTTTAATAATTTTTTATTTGTACACAGGCCTCAAATTTAATAAAAGTTTACATCTACAAAACTGGTTTAATAAATCTTTAAATTTTAAGAATTTAGAACATGTATAAAAATTAAATTATATTTTGACTAAATAGAAAAATATTAGAATACGTTGAAATTTCAAACGTTTAATATTTATATAATTCCTTCATGAAAGAGAAGTGAGACAACTGTAGTTAAAGTGAAGAAGAGAAATAATAATAAATAAAATCATGAAAAGTGTCATCAAAAGTTATTATACGAATAAGTAACTATTGTTGCTGAGATCACTTATTTAATGCTATCAAGAAAAAGATATCACTTTTTTTAATATTATGTGTATCATTTATTCGATACTCTAAAAAAAACATTTAATATTGTTCTTTTAGTATTTATTAATATGATGTCTTGTACTATACACGATATATTTGATAAGATATAATTAAAAAAATTATGTATTTATTAATTTAATGTATTTAAGTGTATTTTTATAATGTTAAAATATTATTATTTTAAATTTATAGTATAAAAAGTCAATTATATAGAACTTAAAAATTAATGTATATAAAAAGGGGTTTGATATATTTATTAAATTTATTATAATTAATGTACATAATAATTGAAATAATTACTAAGTAATGTTAATATATAATATTATTTTTATTAAAAATAAACTATTTATTATAATTTTAAACTATTATCATATAATTATTTTATGTAATATTAAAAGCATTATTTTAATTATTTATTTATGTATAGTATGATAATTGACTGATGTTTTCATTTTTATTCTAGTGTTTCTTCATTCAATAAATACAACACTTTTTAAAAAAAAAATATTATAATTCAAACACTTTTTTTAAAAAAAATTATTATAATTCAAATAGTTCTAAAAGAGATGAACATTGTTATGATATTATTATAAAAATATTTTTATACATAAACATATTAAGTTTACAAAAATAATCTTAAAAATTAATTAAATAAGTTTTACTATAAATAATTGAATAATGTTCGATAGGAACGACATCTTAAACAACTAATTAATTCTTGAATATTTTATTTTCTTGTTTATAATGTTAAAATAAAAAATATTTCTATATTTTTTTTGTCAAAATATCATTGAAAGGTTTAATGCACTATACAAATTGAATTTATTACATTTAAATGATAACAGTAAATATTTTTAAATTTAGTATCTATCAAATTAAAATTTTGAAAATAATTTAACATTTTATATTTGTTATAACTTTATTTTAACAAAATTGCATAACATTAATATCAATATACATTGAATAAAAGACCCCTTTTATATAAGATAAAAAATTAAAGGGAGTTATTTCAATAAAATAAAATGATAAACTCTTACATTCTCAACAAATTGATAATAAAACCTGAAAATTGTTAAGATAGTTATTTAGTCTATAAATTTATTACCTAGTTAAGAAATGTAGAATTGTCTTTTAATTTACAATTTAATTGTGTATTTGCACACACATAAAAAATTATAAATATGCATATGCAAGTAAAATATATTGTTAATTTATCTAATAGATGTTATATCCAACAGCTCGTTTTTCTTCCTTGTACTTTTGGTCATTTCTTATGGATAAATGTGAAAACTAAAAAAAGCATTATTGGGACTAAATAAGAGAATATTAAAAACTATTATACTTTTAATAATATATATATATATATACTTATTCATTTTATAAATTAAATAGAAAATATTAAATAGTTATTATCAAACTTATTTTACACCGTCATTTGTGTTTAAATAAAGTGTAAATATATCTTTATGCTATTAATGTGTATCATTTAAAAAAAAAAATTTAAATAAATTATCCCGTAAAAGATTTTCTCGTCAACCAACTAAATCAGGTATGCTTCAACTATTTAGCAACCTATTTTTTTTAGCTTAAAAACCATCTTTTTGCAAGTCATCTTTGAGTACTTATCCATAATGTTCCGGGAGTTTCCCACAAATGTATATATATATATTCTTATTGGTATAATATTATCTATTTTAGATCTAAACCTTTATGAATATTACTTTTGGTATAAAAATCAAAGTCTCACATCCATAAAATAAGAAAATGGACATGAATTTATAAACACAAATATTCTCATTAATAAAAAAAGTCCTTTATATGATGACAAAAAAAAAATTATAGGAGTTTAAGTCTAAAGTAAGTAATATATACCAATATGAGACGTGTGAGTGAACTTCTGGTAAATAAATATACATTATATATCCACTTTTTTTTAAAAAAAAAAATATATACTGGAATAATGCATTCACTTTTAAGAAGAAAAGCCGATGGATGGGATTCTATGACATTCCTTTGCGTAGATAATACATTTCAAACCACCACTATGACCCCACACACACAAAAAAGAAGAGTCCGCACACACACAATACTAAATATGAATTGCATGCATATAGATTTGTGCGAGTGAAGGGTAGAAAGTTAAGAGACAAGTCAAGAACGCGAGAAACCCAATTATTACTAGTTACTACACTACATACTCTCACAAGGGTCACAACAACCAAGCAACACTCACGGAAGTGACATAATGCGGCCAAACAAAATCTTGGAGCTGCAGTTTCCATTAAAGATACCAGAATCAAAATCAGAAAATATACTCTGGCAGCTGCAGCGGGAAATGTGCCACTGTAGCTAGAAAAGGGTCTCCTTTTGGCTCTGCCAATCTGAAATCAGAATAAAGAACAACAAACACTAGCTCACTCACCATAACAATTGAATTTATTCATATAAATGCATATGCATGGGTTTTGATGCTTGCAAATAAAGGCATCCCCATATCATCCATTGTAAGTGGACGTATCTTAAAACCCTTGGTAGGGACTATAAGGGATGCCTAATCCTCATATAAAGTAGTATGGGACACTCGTACTGCTTGGATCTCCCCCCTTAACAGCTAGATTTTAAGGAAGGGAGAGTTTTTCTCAAGTGCTCGGGTGCCTATCATTTGGTGTCAGAGCTGGTTTCCAATGTCTCTGAAAGGACTACCTATAGAGGAGTAGATTAGAAAGTCTGGGTGGAGCATTGTAGAGTGCAGCCACCAAGACGTTAGTTCCTAGGGAGAGTGCTATGAATCTATGATAAAGACTTGGATATTGAATCTGTTTGGATACAAATTAGAAATACTATTTAAAGTTTTGAAAAATATATTCTCAAAAACATTTTTAAACTTGTACCCAATCAGACTCATTATGTGGTGCCTACGTCTCACATTGAGTACTATGAGATGCTTGGTGGAGTATTTAAGTTAGGTTCTCCTTTCATAACAGCTAGCTTTTAAGGGAGGGTTTGCCAAGTGCTTGGGTGCTTAACAACCCTGACCAAACATACTGATTATAGTCAGCCTCCACAAGACCCAAACCACCAACTCCAAGTATAAAAGTTCGTGGATTATAGAAATTTCCTCAATCCCCAACTCAGATTAATCATAGACATATATAACCAAATCACATGTCACAAGCAATAATTAAAATAAGATAAATTCATACCTGCCAGGTATAAATGTAAAAGAACCTTCAATGGAACCTGATGATATTGGTAGAGGTGTGCAACTCTGATAAACAAATTCTTTAGCACCAGGACGCAAAAGTGGAAACTGCAAAGACATATTCATACAACTCAGTAGTTTGGCCACTTCACTAAAATTACTCGGATTTACAAAAATGAAAGTTCTAAGACACTTCCAAGATCTAAAACTATTAATTATAAACCTTTGCTACTTTTGGAAACCGGAATCACTAAATCATAACTTTTATCTGGCTTGCAAAGTTGAACCTAAGGATGACTCATCTGCTTGCAAGCTTTAAAGTAAAAGCTAGCACAGCACCATTTGGATGCACTCAATCAATATATGCATCAACATCAAAGCCCCAAAATTTAACTAGACTTGGGCCACAAATATGAACTCATAGCAAGGCGATGGTAGAGTGCCATTATGTAGTTTTGGGGAAATTCTACAATTGATTTCCTACTGAAACAGAAACTTCTGGTTGTAAAAATTCAACCAACCAAAATACAGGTGAAACATTTAGATTAGTTACATTAGTATCAACGCATTCAAATCATTGAGACCTTGATCAGTTACAATGTATCGTTCCATCTAAATTTGGATCCTAATGTTTAAAATCCAAGAGAAGTCAATGCAATTAAGTTATTGCCCAGGTACTGAAGACCTACTCACTACTCAGCTAATATCTCATCTGGCATTTCAAGACAATTGATGCAATTTTTAAAAATCACAAAGAATGGAATAGATTAAAATGCATACATATTAAAATCGGTACTGCAGTAGAATATAAAAATAATTACACTAAAAAAAAAAAAAGGGAAGTTGAGGGGGAAAAGGGGGAATTTATACCTGTCCTATAACAGCTTCTCCATTGACATCAGATACAACAATATCATTGGCACGGATGATCCAGTGCCTCCAATGGAGCTGGCAAGAGTTGAAGGTCATTCCATTAATGATGCATCCTTGAGGTTCAAGGGACATGCGGATTGAATAAGCAAACAAGTACTTTTCAAAGTCATGTTGAAGATCAATCAACTCAGGGATAACCAACGCAGAAGCACAAACCTTGAGATAAAAGAAGACTTGTAAGTTTATAAGGGAAAATGAATCACATGAAATTAGAAGTACTTGTGAAAATTAAAAAAGCAGTGATCATGGGAATAGACAAGTGAATTGGAATACCCATACATCATCAATGAGTATAAGTTACCAACTGTTCTCTTCCTCAACACATAAAAGACAATATACAATCACATATCAATATTTATTCCATGTAACCCCAATATGACTAAGGAAACTGCATCAATCATTATCATAGCAATAATTTTTTCAGGCCATAAGATACGGAGCTAAAAGAACAAGCATAAAGAATAGTATACACTGTTTTACCTTCACACCATTAGTAATAGCCGTTGAACAAAAAGGGGGTTCTTCTGGGAAAAGATTAATGCTTCTGCCATTTACTTCATCCCGAAGTTTGATAACGCCATGTTCTAGACGGTGACCATGTTCTTCTAACCACAGTAGCATGGCATCTTGTTGCTCTCCACTATTCACTTCCTGATGTAAATGAATCAGATCATGAGGTACACAAGGGATTATGTCTCTATCAGTAAGAATATTCCTAGTTCCAACATATAGTTGACCATTGGTACAGTTGAGGAAAAACAACTTTTCACTGTGTGTGGATGAAGCAGCCATGAGAACAAACTTGGATCTTCTTAAAAAGCCCCTGCAACGCCTATGTTGCTGAGTTTCTAGAATTATATGACGTATTGGTAATAAATAAACATTCACCAAATGACTGTAGAAGGAGTAGCCACCAATTAGACCCAAAGAACTACCAAATGTGCTAGTCTCCAGATCTGTTTTCGCTATTTCTTGTCCATTATGAAAGCGATAAAGGATCCTTGTAGGAAGTGGCAATTTCACCTTTAATACATTCTCCAACTCCTCAATGTCAGCTTCTGTTGCACCTTTACAAAGAGTGGCCTCAGCTTCAGGAAAATTATTGGCCAACCAGGTCTGTATCCTATCCCAGCACCTTTTTACACGCCTAACAAGAGACCAAGGATACATAGAAAAAGCTCCTCTCCATGTTTGATAACATTCCTGCATAATACAGAGTGAGTCCGATTTCTAGCTGTACCAAAAACATTAATCTGAACTTTAGCACACAAAAGGTGTTTATCATCAAGAGTCTTTTGCAACAGAGCATCCATCACATCCTCGATAAGAAAAAAAAAAGATGCCAAGTTATAACCACAGTTTTAGCAGGTCCATCGACCAGCATGGTGGAGAGCCAGAAGTTAGTTTCATGCCAAGAAACATGTTAGTAACTAGTACATATACTAAGGATCTGTTTGGATAAATTCCTTTAAAAGTACTAGTAGAAGAAGAAAATATGAACAAATAAGATTTTCCATAATCTAAAATTACTTGTACATAAGTTAATTTGTAGATGTTCCTTCATATTAGCTTCTCCAAAAACGTATTTTTAACTTATGCATAAGCTAATTAAAACTTATGGAGAAATTAATTCCATTTTTCTTTCTTATTTTCATCTCTTATTAGTATTTTTTGAGAAATTTATTCACCCAGGCCCTACATCTACAATTAGAAGGAGGAAAAAATTGGAGGGAAACCAAATGAAATGTCATCATATTCATATATATACCATTGTTTCATTTTCTTTAAAAAAGTGGAAAGCATGGAATGGAACGGAATGGATGCTATATCACCTCATTCCATTCAGTACTCTCATTTTTTCTGGCCCCAGAATAGTGGTTAAAAGAGGAAACCATCGTAATAAAATCACCATTCTCACTATTCTACTCACTTCCCAAATAATGAAACGGAGACTATATTCTTGTATTCCACCAGAAATATCTAAACAATGGCACAATAATTTCATCCTAACACATCCCATCCCATCTCTGTCCACTCCATTCCACACTTAGATATTCAAACATAACCTACCTAACTAACTACAACAGGTTAAGTACACTTTTAACCATGGCAACTGGTTCAACTTTGGACCAAGTCAACATAAAAAAAAAGAGTCATTTTCAGTTTTCAACACACAAGGACATCTAAAAGCATGACCCATCTTGTGCTTCAAATTGGAAGACGCAGGAACAAAACAAACTCAACCAACAACGACTTTGTTAACAAAATCAACAAATTTCCCACATAATTTTCATCCGAAAAAAATAAAAGGAGAAAATGGAAAAGGAAAAAGGAGTGACCTTGAAGGAAGGGAGAAGGTTTCCTAGATGATCTTGGGGTTGGGTCAGAGCGAGTTCATGGAAACAGAGATTCATCCAAAGAGTGTCTTCGGAAGCGGAAGACCTAAACCTTTTGCTGGCACACGCCACCCTCGCAATGTCTTCTGCTCCTAATTTCTTCAGAATAACGTTAATCGCCAAATCTCCCACAGATTCCAAACCCATCTTTCTCGACCGCTCAATCACTGTTAGCTTCTGCCACTGATAAAATGCAACCACCACAAATTATAACCAGTTCACATATATAATCATGCATTTTTTTTATATTAAAAAAATATAGACAATAATTAAGGTTATTACGTGTACTCAGGGGAATCAGATAATTAATCTATATTTTAAAAAAAAATTAACTTAATTCAATCCAATAAAAAAAAATCGCATTAAATTTAGTTAATCAAATAAATATAATTAAATATATTTATTTTAAGAAAAAATTTAAACATTTTTAAATAAATATAAATTATTTAATATTTTATTTTAAATGTAATATTATCAATTTATAAAATAAATAATGATGTAAATTAAATTTTATATTATTATCAACTCAAACAATTAGCATTAATTAATATAAAATAAATATGTTAAATTGTTATAATGTTATTGATACAAAAATTTTAAATTTGTTATTGAATAATAAAAATACTATTATTATTATATGATCAATTCATGTCGAGTCACATGTTAAAAATACAAAATTCACTACTTAATTTATATAATGTCCAATTTTAATCATATTAGATTATATCTGACCTAAATACCAAAATTTTTTTTAATATAAACTAATTGAATCAGTTCAAATTCATATTTATTCTTTCTTACACAGTGATGCATATCACTTTAAAAATAATTAAAAGTCATTAAATTACAAAATATTTGTGACTATAAGACAATCTAAAGCCTTTTTTTTTTCAAGAATATTTAACATATTTTTAGCAAAATATTATAATAATTGCTGCATTACATTTTCTTTAAAAGATTCAATAGAAATGCACTTACATAAGATGTCTAAATAATAATTTATTATTCATAATAGTTTGTGATTAAATAATAATTTGAAATTATTTCACACTAGTAATATATAACATATTTTTTTTACTCTTTCATGTGTGACACATTATTAGTTTATTTTTTAAATTATTCATTAGTCACTAAGATACTCAACTTAGAAAATATTATCACTATTTCTTAAAAGTAATGAAATAATATAATATTTTTTGAAAATTTATTAATATTTTTTTAGTAATTACTAACTATAGTCCTAGTACAAAATATTCAATTCCAAAAGGAGTGACTAGTTTGTGAAGGTATACAAAGTAAGTATTTTTCTTCCAACATAATTTTTTTATACTTAAATTTAAGCTTCAAACCTTGTATAACTTAGTTAAAAGATAAAAAAAAGTGTTATCATTTGTATCGACTAGTATTGGTATTTCATCAATTTATTTGGAAGATTTTTTTAAATATTTTTTAAGATTAATTAAATAATTATATTATTTTAAGAACCAATTAAGAGAAAATAATATTTTAAGAGTTAAATTGATAAAAAAAATTCTGACATTTAATTAATGAAACATTTGTTAAAAGAAATTGATAATAATGTTTAGTGGGAACGTTAAATATTAGTAAGATACACAATTATTATTTTTTCCTATCATTTCAATACACTTTTGATCAAAATTCATTGAAAATAATAAAATTACGAGTAAAAATTATAAAATGATGGGTAAGACTTGTACAATTTTATATTTTTTTTAACAAATATTTCATATGATCATTTTTTTAAATTATATAATTATATTATGCAGTTAGAAGTGGTATACACATGATTCTAAGTTTAAATATTGTTGTTGTCATTGTAATTTCTTCAAATTTAAAAAATGTCACACATAATTTAATTATTTTCAATAAATATACCCAAAAAAAAGTGAGTTACTAATAATCCTTTAGTGTGAATTTCAAAATATTGGACTACTTAGATGTTAGATTAATTTAAAAAAACAAAATAAATAGTTTTAAAGTAATAAAAGTGCAGAGCTAATATTGTTTTTTTTAGATGAATCTATTGAACAATTTTAATAGGATGAATTTGAAAGTTAGGTGGTTTATCGTGTTTAAATTTCTAATCACCTCTGATTTATTAATAGAATATTATGTGGTTTGGATGATGTTTGCAACCTTGTTAACAAATTAATTACAATTATAATTTTTTTTTGTTACAAGTATATTTCACACATTTTTCCCTTGTAAGAAATGTGAGTTATATCTATGTTTTAAATACCAAATAGTCCTATGAAAATGTTAGTTTGTGTTGAGTGTCAATAATTAGAAGAGATGGAGAAAATAATCTTGATAAGGGAGAGGGAGAAAATTAGAGCATATAAACTAGCGACCTTAAAACAACCAACATGATCCAGCTTGCACAATGCTCAATGTCTCCAAGGTCACTGAGCACCATAAGTCAGTTACATGCTCCTCCACTAAGTTATTGCAATTCCAATATTTATAATCACCAACTCAATGTTATGGACATCACTTAAGTCAGTTATAATTGGATTTAATAGAATAGTTGTTTTTTTTTTATAAATATTTTATTTAGATGAGAAATTTACAAAGAATTTAAAATTTAAAAATTAATAAAATTATTTAAAATTGTAAAATTTTGAATTCTTAAAAAAAAAAAGTTTTTTTTTTTTGGTTCGTTTCTAGAGTATCCACCGACAGCAGTGACTAATCTCCTCGCTACGTTGGAGGCACCTCAAAGGGTGGGATAGCTGGCCCAAAAATTTAACGCGGCTGCATACACAAGGCAGGATTCGAACCCCTGACCTTGCTTAAGCGTGGATCAACCCCTACCGCTGAACCACAAGCTTGGAGTTAAAAAAAAAATTGATTTCTCTCTCTCTCTTTATTTTATTTTTATTTTTATTTTATTTTATTTATCTCCATCTCCTTTCTTTTAAAGTCAACATAATAAATATTAATAATTTTTTTTAAAATTATTAAGTATTTAAAATTATTTTAAAATAATTAAATATCATTTAATAATAATTTTTAAAATTATTTAATATTTTAATTTTTGTCAATATTTACTTTTATAATAATTGATCTTAAAATTATATATATACATGTTTAAAATTAATTTTATCTAGATATCCATTTGTCATATCTAAATTAAAAATTAAAAATTTAATTTAACTTATCCAAATAAAATATTTAAAAAATAATAAAAATTAAAATTAAAATACTTTTAAATTTATTAAATTTGTAATATTCCTCGTTCCTCATTCAGACACATTATTAAATCAAGTTCACAAGTTGATTACAAATCGCTTACACACACAAGTGCACAATTATTTTCTGATGTTAATCTTTTTCTCTTACTCCAAAAAAAAAAAGTTTGATTGGTCGATTTAAACATTTACAAATAAAATAAAACATAATACATGGCATAAACTGCTTACACACGCGGGTGCACAATTATTTTCTGATGTTAATTTTTTTCTTTTTCCAAAAAGAAAGTTTAATTGATTGATTTAACATTTAAAAATAAAATAAAACATGATACATTACATGGCATCCCCATCAGTATGATAACTAACATCTTTTGAATAAAATTTCAATTTTAAGCATACAGATTTGGACTTGACATTTACGTATATAAACATTCTTTTGGACTTGTAAAAAGAGTTTTTTTTCTGCAGTGAAAATATTCTTAAAGACTAATTTCTTTTTAAATATATAAATTATTTAAATAAACTTTATCATTAACATTTTTTTTTTTGGCCAAACACTAATTTGGACAGCCTAGAATTTACGTGATTCCCTATCCAAAGTAACACGACAACATAACAACTAAAAAACGAATATTGAAATCCAAATTAGACCTACAATTGGTTACAGTTTTTCCCACCGTCACGTAGGTAGCCCAAAAAAACTCCCTCCAGTTGGAACAACATCAGTTGGAACAACATCTGAGACGATATTTGTTATGTACACTAACCAGTATCAACAAAAAACCAACCTCGCACCTTTGTAGTTTTTAGCAAAGTTTTTAACAAAGATGTTAAAAAGGAAAGAGTATGTTGGCGATAAATGAGAGTTCCTAATTCCTATGCTAAATGATTAAATAGAAATGGCTGTAGAACAATCGCCAAGTTGCCATCACCTTTGTGCCATGCATCTCCCTAAGCACGATCGATACCTACGCGTCCATAAAGAATAGGAGAAAAAAAAATGATATCATTAAGATATAATCACGTTGCGCAGAAGCCACCTTAACCTTAACGCAAAACACAAAAACAATGATGGATTTATATTTGAGGCTCATAAAACCATTATGAATCAAAATCAATATTTTTGCACATACATAGGTTACATTGTTATCACCATTTTAAAGAAATATGCATGTATAATTAATAGGTGATTACTTGACAGGCTAGGCAAGGAGAGAAAATAAGAAAAATGTTTTAAAATAAAAAATATAATAAAATCACATCGTACTACTAATAAAGACCCTAACGTATTTATGGCCATTTAAAAAGTTAATATTGGCAGATTGTTGAGTCATAATTTAATATCATTATTCATGCAGTCAAAATTTTGAAGACCAACCATGTAATGAAGCATCGCATGCATCAGTAACTTAATGGATCGCTTTGAATCTATATCAATAACTCTTCCCACTTCTCAGCCTCACCAGATCTAAGTTTTACTATAAAGAAGTCCTTCGGATTCAGATTAGTAACTGGTGTAATATGACAAATTTACGCATTATTGGGGGCAGCAATAAGTGTGAATACCCTGCACTATGGCACTCAACACTTATAGCCATTAACTATTAACATCCCTATCTTCATTCTTTAGAAAAATACGGTATAGTATTCGTGTTGAAAAGTAGTTCTAAAGATTTTGGTATATTTCTATTAACAAACGCTCCTCAAATTTTATATCAAGATAAATTTTATTGTGCCTCAAATTTTATATCAAGATAAATTTTATTGTGCTGATTCCTTCAATCTGTTCTGAAAAAAGACATTGATAACGATAGATGTGGAACAAAACCAGGACCCCAAAGTCAAATTAGGATGATAGTAAATTTGCAATGCTCACTATAACACAAATTTTAATGTTTCGCATCCTTTATTCCAAAACTAGCTCATAGCTCATTCCAGTTGACTGAATAACAAATGAGATATTTCTATTTTATGTAATATCTACAGTCAGACCCTGTTTTCCTAGGTTTAATCAAGTAAATTAAAACTAGTCTGATAGCTTTGCCAGGAATAGCATAATCAAGGACATGAAGCAGTTTTAACTAAATTTATCATTCAATTTTATTTTGAAATAGTTTACCATGTTAAATTTTCACCTGAAATAATATCTAACGGACTTACAACTTACCCCACCACTGGAACAGCAAGCCCATGTGCTTTGGGCTCTGTTTTTTCCCAATGTCTCGAACAAAACCATCAGGATTGACAGAACATTCATAAGAATGCTTAAAATTAAGTGTTTATTATCCCTCTAACGATGATAAATTTCTGTCGCCTTTCCATAGCATTTTATTAAAGAGAAGCAGACACCTTTCCATAGCATGCCTGGCAACTTTTCCTAAGAATAGACGCTACTCTTACTACGTGAAGTTGGTATTCATATTAGAAGGTAAAAGGTTGAGTATAGCTTTAGCACACGATTGTTAAATTTAAGTAGTGCAGGTACGACCTAAAGTTTTTAGCATAAGTTTCCTGTCCGAAATTTCATAAGCTAGGCTGTTAAAAAAATACTATTTACCAAGTTGATGGACCAAATATGATTAGATTCACGGTTCCTATAAATTTCAATCCATGTCAAGATCTTGAGATCATTAATCTTTATATCCCTAAGCAAAATTTACAATTTCTAAATGTCCCAAATTTGTTGATTCGATATACTAATCCTTAATTATGTTAAGCTAAGAAGTAAACAAAGTTAACTCTAGATTTACAGATTTAATCAGCAAGTGTCTTCACTTGATCAGTAGAAGCGCATACAACATTCTTTCTCGGTGGGAATTACACCTCACAAGTCATAGTAAGTTATAGGGTGATTGCAAATTTGCAATTTCGAAAGAACCATAGGGAAAATTAGTGGAAAACTACAATTAGTAGGTGGCACAAAATTTGTTTATTTGATCTACCAATTCTTTGATTATGGTTAGCTAGGGAAGAAGTAAACAAAGTTAACTCTAAATTTACAAATTTAATCAGCAAGTATCTTATCATAATCTTTAGAAGCACATTCGATATTCTTACAAAGTGGAAATTACACCTCACAATTCACAAATAAAATAAGTTATAGTGAGTGACTGAATTACCAAGCCTAAAAACTACCTTTCAGGGGGTGAAGAGAGAAGATAAGATCAAAGTCTACAGCTAAAAATTACTAGGATACAAAACTTAAAAGAAAATAAGCTATTACCATGTGAAGTTTTTGTCACATAATTAGTATCTATGAACATATTCAACCAAACTGAAAATGTACACATTATTACGATAACGAAAACAAAGAAACATTAAGACATGAATCAGAGGCAGAAATGAAGAACAGTAATACACCATAAGGATTGCTACAAAATTTACTGATATCTGAAGTAAGTCAGTTGAAGAAACATACCAAGTAATGCAGAAATATTAGATGAGAGTTATACTAAAGATACAAAACAACTTATTTACCCATAAGGACCAAATAACCACATTATGAATCGGGTTTCTAAAGCAGAAACCTAACAGATCCTCCTCCTCCCTATAACAAATGATGACTAGACTGTCATTGCAAACCAGCTATACATCTTACACTAAAAAATCGTGAAACGGCATTGAAGAGAAAGTGCAAATTGATTTCACATGTTTCACAGTAAAACATCTAACGTCTACCGTTCAAAAATGAATAACTGGATCAAAGCCAACCAGGATGAATTTCTTTAAACCCTTACGGATGAAAATATCAAACTCAGACACAGCCAAAATTGAGTAAGAAATTACAGGTTCTGCTACATTCAAATCACGAGTATTTCCAACATGCCACAAGAAAACTTTCCAGCAGGTAGCCAGATGACTACAATATGAAGCAATCAAGGATATCTAGATGATGAGGGAAAGGAACAAAAGCTTAGCAAGGGGACTTAACAGGTTACCAAGTTATAACAAGAAGACAAGCAGCAGAAAACAAGAGAAATCCAGAGTTTGAAGTGGTTCAATGACAAAAACTAGTGGCTCAATACTCAAACCCTAATCCCATGAAGAACACTACGAAAGATGCGATACTACTTAGTTTACAAGATATCATTCCCCAGAATTGTCAGGGTCAGGGCTGGGTCAGGCAAAAAACTGAACACAACCCACATATAACACCATCATCAGAAAGAGCTACAACAGAGACATGTGGAAAGAAACTGAGGGAAGCCAGCCTATGGCTGTGCAATATACACAACTTTACTAATATCACAATATGGAAAAGGTGAAAAACATATGGCACCCTAATATGATATGGTAGTTGGTAGACAGTTAACTTGTAAAACTGTTAATATTTGAAGGCAAATTACCTTGCATTAATTATATCACACGTTGAAAAATCAAGATTCATGAAAATGAGGGGGAGAAGGAAGAACTAGAGAGGAGGAGAGAAACAATGTGTACAGTTATTAGTCACACATCAATTTTAAAAGGACAAATTTTCAATAATATTAGACTAGATATGGGATTTAGGTGCTAAAGAGAAAGAAACAGAAAGACAGAAAGAGAAAGAAAGAGGGGAGAGGGAAGAAGAACCGAACAAAAAGGATAGAGAGATCAAAGGGAACTGCACGAATTTCTGTTAATGTTTCAGTCTGAATAAAATACAATAGCCATGCTTTATTAATTGGCAGCTACCCAACAGCTACCCTAATTCCAAATTATCTAAGAAACTAACGATTTATAGCATTGCACAGTTGCACTTTCTCTTCAAATGCCCTAAACAAAACAAGTAACCTGTTCTAAGATAGTACTCCCCTTAAAACACTGGATGAGACTTTCCAACAAATTTGTTTTTATGTGCTTATAATGTCTTTGAAGGTTCATATGCTTAAGATTTCTAAATTTCCTGTGTCTTAAATTTTCAGGATTTCAAGCTTAGAACCCACAAGATCATTTGCAACTAAGGTATGCAGCCAGAAAGTCACGTGGAATATATCCCGACATCAATGACAAAAAATATTTAGATAAAGAATAAACATATGATCAGAAACAGCATATGTGAATTAAATATTTCAATGTAGGTTAGTGAAAAGCAAGGATCATATACAAAAGAAAAAGTTAGTCATGGGAGGATTACTTACAGAAAAAAGTTCTCATTGTTGAATTCCTGAACCATGTCCTCCTGGGGCTTGCTGCTGCTGCTGCTGTATTTGGTGAAGAAGATTGGCGGCAAACTGTAATGTTGACTGGTATCTCTGGTTCTTATCAGCCTCCACTTCTGATGTGCCTTGACCGACTCCAAAATTAGGAAGTTGCTGATTGGGGGTCTCTGAGTTTAATTGGTCCACTGTATATGGCATGGCTGTTTGCTGCTGTGCAGGATTAGCACTAGTAACTTGATTAGAAAAGGCAATAGAATTATTAGGTTGCTGGAAAGCCAAAGAATTGTTATTAGGTTGCTGGAAAGCCTGAGAATTGTATAAAACAGAGGCATCTGTTCCCTGCCCCACTCCAAAGCCTTTCTGATTGTTGGGGGAGACTTCAACTTGATAATGATGATTGGCATGGGGAGATACTGCTACCTGGCCACTTTGAGTAGGAATCATGAAATTTGACATGTGTCTTGATGAAGCAGCACCTTGCTGCTGCAGGCTGGCAGCAGTATCTTGAATATGAGAACTGCTTGAAACTACTTGAGCAGCATTACCAGCAGGAGCAGATGCTGGTGGATAAGGCTGATAATGAGCATTGTGAACATTATACATAGTCCTCAGTTGTTGAGGAGGATGAGTGGATTGATCTGCAATTTGGTTGTCCTGTTTCCATAAATGTGATTGATTTCCATCATTTGGTGCAACTGGAGGAAATGGAGGCTTCATGGTTGAGGAAACTATTGCTGACTTGGCACCATCAGTGCCAGATGATTGTGCAGGGAGTAAAGAAGCTAAAGTTGCAATAAGCTCTGGAGTTAATGCAACTCCAGCCTGAGACCCAGCAACATTAGTAGTATTAGGAGCATAATCTTGAGGCACAGACTGAACTGAAGGGGGGCCACCAGCAGGTGGATAGACTGGTTTAGCAGGATGCTTAGAATCATCATGCAACGACCTGTTATAATCCATCGGCAAAACCTGTTCCTCTTTCATAGGAATCATACCATATTCAGTCTGTGAAGGGGGAATCTGCTGCATATACTGAGGGGGAGGTATAGGCAAATGTGGTGGCTGTTGCAGCGGTGCACTACTTGACACTGGTGGAAACTTAAGAACCACACCATATAAACGCTCAGGTCCAGCAACTTTCAAAACCTTAGTAAGAAAATCAGAAGGAGGCACCAAGAATAACGTGGTGTTATCAACAAATTTGGCAACACCAGCTCGATTTTTCGCACCAAGATAGCGAAGGAATTCAGTATATGAGGCAAAATCGTCTTCACTATCAGGCAGAAAGAAAACAATATCAAAACCAATAGCATCAGCAAAATGTTTTGTGAGAATATCCAATCCCGTCCTAGCTGAGCAATCAACAATATCAGGACTGCAGCAAATGAACAAAACAAACTTTAATTATAACATCAAAAACAGTGCCCTAAAGATAGGAATAGATTTCAACCATTAGGAAACAACTCTAGAACTTTCAAGGAAAAAGTGTCCAAAAACTAAGCACCCATTTGTTTCTTATTAGAAAAAAATGAGCAAGCCAGTTAGCATATTTACCAAAAATATATTTAAAAAAAAACAAAAATTAAGAATAGGTATTTCAGAAAGAAGATATAAGAAAAATAAACACAATTCTTCTTGATGATACACTAAAAGAACAAAGATACACAAGAAAGCATGCAACACAAACCAGTAAATATAATATAATCATCAAGAAGAATATGCTTCATGTGCACCTTGCTAGCAATGAGAGTGAATGAAGTAGATTGAAGACAGATAAAATTATACTCACAGCTCAGTCCCAATTCCTTTCCCAATAGGGACGCATCTAGCATGACAAACAGGAGTTCCCCCTTTGGCAATAATTCCACGCCATATATGATCAATATCAGGTTGGCCGAAACCATGTCCTCCAGCTGTAATCCTTGAGCTGACTGAACCCAGGTGATTCCTTCCTTGAACGTTTCTATATGGACCAGAACCACTTCCATCAATAGCTGGATCAATCCCATACGTTTGTTCTAGAGCTGACCCACGATCATCCATATTCCTTACAGGAAATGGGCCATCATCAACAGGCAAAGGTCCATCTATCCTTGAACGTTTAGAATCTCTTGGGATATGGTTTATGTCAAGTACATCCCATGCACCAGAGGTTGATCTTGTTGGAAGCCTGACACCTGGTGCAGGAGAAGAAAGCATCCCAGGTGCGGGAGGAGATGGCCTTTTCCAGTTTGGACCCATGTTATTCTTGGAGCTACCATCCTGAAATTTCTGGAGCGCATTAATCTCATTAAAATCAGGGCCAGAAATAACAGATTCAACACCACCATGAGGACCAAAAGGTCGCAATGGTACATTTGGTCCCATAATACCACTAGGTGGTAACTGTCCAGGAAAATTATTAGGAGCCACTGGACGATTATGACTAAATACATCCATCTGTATAGGTCGAAATGCGTGCTCATTCAGCAATATGTCAGGTCTCGGCCCATTATTTCCTGGGAAAAAACCAGGGTAATCATTGCCAGGCACTATGTCACTGCTCGAATACATAATTGTTATTCGAGGATCATTAAAAAGGCGTCCTTGAAGGCCCTCTTTTGCACGCCGAGCTTCATCAATACTTCTAAACTCAACAATTGAATAATTCCTCAAAGGAAAACTCTTTATTCTCTCGATTTCACCAAATAAAATCATGGCATTGTGAAGCATTTGCTCGTCAATCTGAACAGCAGGAGGATAACCAATCCACAAGATATTACTCGGTTGACCATCACCTTTTCTCCCCATTGGAGGCTGTGAATGCTGTTGAAACAAGAAAAAGTATTTATAAGAACTAAAGAATTCAAGCCACAGGTATACAGAAAACATTAAACATTTTCTATGCAGTATATGCTTGTCTAAATAGTGAGTTTTATCTAAATCATGGCTTGTCTTTGTTAAACCAACACATTACATCCAACAAGGCAATGACAAACCGATGAGCAGGACCAAATACAATAGTGATAAACTTGTAATTAGATGCACATCGGAAAGAACCCTGACCAGTGGTCTTTTCTGTCCAGAATAAGCATCAGTAGGCCCCAAACCCTTTCCTTGAAATTGTCCATAATCAAGCTGATCCTACAGCAATCAGCAAAGAAAACATTAACAACATCAAAATAACATGCAAACAGAGAGAAAACAACATAAAATTGAAACAACCCAAACCACCAATTCTAGAATAAAAGCAATCAGACAAAATAGTTTGCATTATCAGACAAATTACACTTTACAAATGGTATAGTCAAATATGGATCATTTATTAATGCATGAAATAAAATGCCAGGTTTGTCATTTTCAAACCAAATAGTCACTCCCCACTAACCTAATTGTCATCACTCTATAGGTCCTATCCCAAGGCATAGGATGAGTGTACTGATAGGTAATTGAATAATAGAAGGAAATGGAAGAACAGCAAACCAGAACATCTAAAAGTATAAACATACCTTTTTTGTTGATTGTGACCGAAGGAAGTCAACACGAATATGCTCTCCACCAATTCGTTTCCCATTCATGATCTTCATGGCCTGAGTAGCATCTTCCAAATTGAAAAATTCAACACATGCAGTATTACGATCTCTGAAGAACTTAAAGTCCTCAATTTTACCAAATTTACGAAATTCAGCTTCCAATTCTTCCTTTGAAACAGCTGGGCTAACACCACCAACCCAAAGCTGTTTACATGCCTTTGCCTGAGAACATGATTTTTGCGTAATTTATACACACTTTAGAAAGATACAAATTCTACAGTCTACATACAGAAATTTATATAAAGAAACAAGAACATTACAGTTGAAACATTTTGCATCTATTTTAAGCAGTTTATTTTTGCTTCAAAGCATTCAAAGGCACTCCTACAACGAATTTCCCAGTTGAACTAATGAAAAGAAAGTGACATCTTGGTTTGGCCAAGAATGGAACAATAAAGAGCAATCATCTGTTACGTTATCACATGAACAGAGTTCATCCAATGGTAGGAACTAAAAAGTGAACTCAATTAAATTATTACTCTGATCGTGTAGACATCAAAGGTGAAAGAATAATACAAGTTGCGTAAAGAAAGAAAGAATTGTGTTTCATTATTTCTAATTCTAGATGAATGTTAAATGTCTAGGTCAATAAATTAAACTAAAAAAGATGAAAGAATACTAAGCATTATATAGTAAAATATGACATGATACAACCTCGCTTCAAAGTTCAAATAATTATATATACTCGAGTATTAGTAATTCAACCCAAAGCTAACAATGTAATACTTGCAGAAGTTCCACTTAGATTTAAGGACTAAAACCATTTTTTGCTTTCACTACAAATAATACAGGACATTACCACCACAACACCAATCGTTTTGCACTTTCTATTTTTTTTTTTTTTTTGCAAGATTCCAATGTTTTTGGAATTCCATCTTTCAAAATCATAATATCATAATACAAGAAAAAATTAAGAACCGGATATCCATTTTGTATGATTGATTATATCAAACGCTCTTTTTTCATACAGCTGCAAAATTTAGAGTTAGCGTTTTATTTGTAATTATTTCTATACATTTTATTTCCAGCACCTTATTCAATTTTCAAATAAAGAGCAATGTTTTCAACAGGTCCAGTTGGGAAATTTAGGCACGTTCCAAGTTCTTGATTATTTGAATATAAAGGGTTTAGAGTTTAACAGTTTATTATAATATAAAGGGCGTCCATTATAATCAAACATCAGGCTGCAGTTTGGATTATTTGAATATAGATCATATACACTACTAAAGCACAATTAATGTTCATACTACTGTTGCACCGGTGTTTTAAATTATCTGTCTTTTAGTTTCTTTTTTATTTGATGATTTTTACTTTTTTTGAAGGGGGTAGCAATTTTTTTTTTTAAGCAGGTCTGAGCTATATAAAGTTCTTTGATGGCTAGTAATAGCTCAGGTTTTCGCAGCAACGTAAGTTTCTTCTAAAATAATGCATTGTGCATAACAGCTAGGTGCCGTCACCTCACACAACAGTGAGGAGCCGAACTGAAGAGTGTAGTTGTGCAAAATCAAAGGGAAACCAGTTGTAATTAAATGGAGAAAATCAAAGCAATGCATTTTCAGACCTCAAAAGGCATTATTCTATAATACCATTATGTGCGTTTCTAAATCTAACATCAGATATGCTGCAATTCAGACTTCAAACAGCACTCTTCCCTATTGTACGCATATTGTTTTTAAAATGTTCTTATCATAAATTTTAGGTGCTGATTAATGTTTTCATAAATATTCCAATTTCAAATCTCCAAAATCAATCTACTATGTTGCCTACATGATGCTCGCTTATTAATAAAATACTTTCAACCTACTAATTATTCTTAACTGATAATTTGAAAGATTTTATTGGAGTGAATTATTTTGTTTTAGCTAAAACTTGTGTTCGCGCTGCCAGATCGGAACTTTATATTTTTTTTTATTCTAGCCATGTAATTTCAGAAGTTTCAGGACAACAAATTACAAGGCATTGTTCTTTGGCAATATGCTTTGTATTTATGATCAGAAGATAAGAAATATTTCCCCCCACTGCTTATCCGTGGTGTATATATCCTACAAGGCATTACATTTTTTACATTCACAGATCAAGTTGCTTTAAAAGTTGTTTTACGTCATTTTGCATGTCACGGTTACAACCAATGCTTTTAAGAGTTGTTTCCCATGACGAAAAATAATTTTTTTAAAAAATAAATAAAAGAGCCGCACGCACAAAGGCTGGACATGCTCGTATATTGGCCCACTGAAGTCGATTTTTGCACATACATTTCTATGGTCAATATACGTTTAAGGTTATCTCTTATTAGATAACAAAATTAGTTTCGTATCGGTTTATGTGAAGTAAAATTCTACAACGTCGTCGCCTCTTGCGATACATAGTTGTACTTGCATCTTTAAACATTTTAACCCTTCGTTTTAGAACCAAAGTTGAGTGACTTGAAAAAAGAATCACCAAACAAGCTTTCAGGATTCCTTTTGATTTGTGAATATTAGTTAACAGAACAAGAGTTACGTCATCCGTTAATTTTTAAGAAATTGAAAATATTCATAGTTAGGCATTTGCAATTAGTGTCTTTAATCACAACAAGACCATTAATTCATCAAGGATTTCGCTCAACGTAAAATCCCAGCACACTGCACATCGACCCTAACCCTAAACAACGAATTTGCACCACTCGTTCGTTATTTGTGTGTGAAACGAATTCTCGATTTGTGCATTTGGTATATCATAATCCATAATCGACTGTAATGTAGGTTATGGTCAGCTAAAATCGATTTAGCCAAATTAGTTTCTGCATTGGATTAAAATTCACACTAAAATCACTTTCACACAGAAACCAACCAATTCTTGTCAATTTCTAAAACAACTTTATTCAAAAATCACTTTCAGAGTAAAATCAACCAATCCTTATCAATTTAACCTAAAACCAATTCTCTAATTTATTCAAAATCAATTTCGCCCTAAATCAATTTTGCAAATCGATTTTCCAACCGGTGACACCAAACACACACACGAAAACTGTCGAAACTAGAGATTTGAATTGAGATTTGTGCATGCATGCGAGCAATTTCGAGAAGCAAACCGCAACGAGAGAAAATGATACAGAATAACAAAAATCTAGAACGCATTAATAATAATAATAATAATAATATGTTAATTGGAAGAAGAAGAATACAAGAACGGTGAGAGAAAGCGAAAGGTAAGAGAGGAGAAAGATGAGGACGAACCGGTCTGGCAAATTCGATCTTAAGGGAACTGCCGCGGAGAGTGGTGCCTTGGAGAGCGTTCTTAGCGGCTTTGGCGTCTTCGACGCGCTTGAAGAAGATGAAGGCGTAGCTGCGAGAGGAATACGAAGTGACGCTGTCGAGTGCGCCGTACTTGGCGAAGAGCTCCATCAGATCGGAGTCGGTGACGTCCGGCGCCAGGTTTCCGACCCACAGGTTGTTCGAGGGAATCGACGAGTCGTCGGACTCCCTCGTTGGTTTCGTCGGAAGCGGCATTGCCAACACAAGAGTTCCCTGCCACTCAGAAATGAACCAAACTTGAAGAGAGAGCGGAAAAAACCCTAGAACGGAGAATGAATGAACTTTTTGCTGCAGAGAGAGAAAAGGTTTTAAGTTAAAACTTAAAATGTTGAATAATATTTATGATTTTTCTTTTATGCGATAAGACCGAGAACGTTCGACTTCCACGGGTATGGTGATAAAAAGCTTAGGGATGTTCTATGTCCCGACTCAAAACAATTTTGATGAGTTCCAATTTCAAATATTAGACTCAAAGTAGTTTCGATATGGATTTAGCTCATCTTTTTGGCTCCTCTCGACTCTCGATAATATAAAGGTAAAAATATATTCTTTTTCTTATATTATTTATAAGTATTAATTTAATTTCACTTTAATTAATTGAATCAATTTAATTTTATATTTTTAAAATATATATTAATGTTTGATCTTTCATTCTTCCGTTTAAATACTTAACATACATGATATGATGATATGACATATGTCACATTCATTAAGTATTTAAATAGAAGAAACAGAAGGTTAAATATTTATATACAACTTAAAGATGCGAGACTAAATTGATTCAATTAATTAAAGTGAGACTAAATTGATACTAATAAATAATATAAAGAATAAAAAATATATTTTTACCATAATATAATCTTTTTGATTAATAAATTAAATATGATATTATATTTATATTAATATTATTTATCCTGAAATATATGTAATAAAATATACCTTTTAACATTATAAAATGTATTTTTAATTGTACTTGTAATTTTTTTAAAAAAAATTAACTATATGTAATGTTAAAGTTGGGTTTGAATTCACTAAATTAAGCTTAAGAGACTATTTAAGAGCAAGTAAAGATATAAATAAACTATTCTCAACCTATCTCACAAACACCCTTACTCCCACCATTTCAAATATATGAATCCCGAATCTCATAAATTGGAATTATGCAACGATTTCTGTAACAAAAATTCCTCAAACTAACAATAACTACATTGCTGTAATATAGACGAGAGAAACTTGTCACAAGATTAAAAAAAAAATAAAAATGATATACCATTCCTGAATAATCGTTATTGGCTTTGTTTTAACGTACTTAAATTTGAAGTCAAGTAAAATATTACACTCCTTACTTCCATGTGATTTTATTTTAAATCCTTGTAATGTTCCGATCATTATTGTATATTTTCAAAGTCAAGGAAAATATAACGCTCCTTACTTTCATCTGGTTTTATTTTAAAACCTTGTAATGTTACAATCATGATTGTATATTACTTATTTTAAATATATATATATATATATATATATTTATATATAAACTTTTATTTTTCTAAGATATTTCTAAATTAATATATTATTATTTTAATTTATGAAATATGTTATAATAGTCTAGATGATTATTTAATTATGATGATTATTCATATTTTTTGTTATATAGATATTTTCCATTTTTATTTAAATTTATAATCATATTAATTAAGGTAATTATAATTAATGAGGTTTTAATAATTTGAGCATTGGAATTTAAAATTCAGGAAAAAATATCAGAAAAAATCATATATATTTTTATTCAAATTATACTTAAAACAAAATTCAAATCAAAATAATTTATATTTCAAATCAAATTCAAAATATAAAAGTTATTCAAAATAAAGTAATAAATAAAGTATGATAAATATCTATTATTTTCAATCAAATATAAATTTACTAACGTAAGTTATACTACATAAAAATATGAAACTATATATTTTTCTATGTAAAATAATTTAATTTTTTAATATATTATTGTTTAAATTTAGCATTCTATTACCATCACATCAAATTTTGATATTTGTCGAGTTAAATTATTATTACTAATGGAACTAAGACAATTTTTACCTTTATATAACAACTATACGGAAAATTGCACTTTTTTTTTTCTATTTTATCCTCTACAAATATAAAAAAAGTTATTATATAATTAAATAAGAAAAAAGATTAAAAAATGGAAAAGAAAATGATTATTAAAAAAATATTTCTTTTATTAATAATTATAGATATCAATATCAATGATATAATTTAAAACAAATATTTCACTAACATAAGTAATTTAAATTTAACTTATTCTAAAATAGATTAAATTTAGGGACTAATATTCATGAAAAAAAAATTAATTATCATTTACAAAATATTTTGAAAAAACTATAAATACAATCTAATATTTATTATTATATAATGATACATTAATGATTAATATTAAAAGTTAATTAATATTCATATGATCACTTAAACTTTTTTAATCTTTAATTATTCAAATACAATCTAATTATTATTTATATTTGTAGTTATGATTTATAACAATAATAAATCTTATTTGATACATTTTTTTTAAAATCTATGAACAATGACCTATTCAGTTTATGATAAACATAATGTGTGTTTGGCTGACGTTTTAACCCTTTCATATGAACTTTTAATTTAACGCAACAACTTACTTTATACTTTTATGTATTAGAAAGTGAACCTTTTCATTTGCATCAACGTTCCCATAATCCTATGCAAAATTGTTTTTATAAGAGTAATTATGGTTAAAATTAATTTTCAAACGGATTGATTTGTATTTAATCATTTTTGTCCTGAAAACAAAATTACTATAAATTTTTCAACCAACACAAAAGTTACTTTTTACCACTTCTAATCAAATTGAGATTTAAAGGCAAAATAAATTTTACCTAACAATAACCATTAACCAAACATCTAGATTTTTATAAAATCAAGTTTTACTGCCGTCAAAATCAATTCTTATAACTTCCATCATAAAACTAAACACACTCTTGAGAGCTCATTCCCTTTGTAGAAATATTTGTTGTCAATTAACCATCAATCTAATTCTTAAGGAAGAGTATCACAATTCTTTCAAACAACTACATTATCGGCCAGATTCATTAGTTCAATTGTGATTACAGAAAACAGAGAGAGGGAATTCCTACACGTGATTATATTTTCCCTATGTTTTTCATAGGGACAGAGCACTTTTTCAAATTTTTTTGTATGTAAACAGATGTGTAATGGAACTTTAAGATCGCAGAGCGAAGGTGAAACTTTTTTCTTTTTGCTATCTCAGGTCTTTTACTTTTCTTGGTCCTTCATAATGCTGAAGGCGCGATATAGAAACAGGTGAAATTCTCATCAAATATATCATGAACTCCTTCAAGCTGATGAACAGATTATCCACCAATCCATCAATTTCTGATTCATATTGCTCGTAAACAAAAAATGCCATAAATGAGAACACCAAACCTACACAAACAATTCAGATTTTGTAAATATGAAAGGGCACAAACCAACAAAGTTCTGGAACTCACATTAACAATTCCATACCTATGCCTATCAATATTGTCAACAACTTTGACAGGATCAACTTCAGAACGTAAAGAAAAACTGCGATCTGCATCAGTTAAAAAAATTAAACATGAAGGCAACAATTACCAGAATCTCTGAATCATAGTAAAACTTCATTCTTTCAAGCCAACCTCTCAAACATGCAAGACAGAAAGATAAATGGTGACCCGCTGACCAATTAGATGACAAACTTAAAATCCATTTTTCCAAAACCAAAGCAAGATCCAGAGATTACAGAGTACATGCATTCTCAATAAACAGATAATGCTTACATCATATATTTTAAAAATTACAATAAATTTAGTTAGAACAAGAAAAGAGAGGATTTTTGTTTTTAAAGGAGACCACATCTTTTACCTTGAAGAATGTAGACCAATCGTCCCCTTGAGCCAGTCCTCTTATATTTTGAAAAACCTTGTTCCATATATACACTGTAGTTGTAACTGAATCTTTCACTACTGTATCAGAGATCTTAAAACAAGACATGGGTATCCTTTGTATATGAAGACCAAATCTGTCACAAAGTGTAATAGAGTTAGTACTTAGAAAACAAATTATTTTTCCGGTGAACTATGAAGGAATCAGTTGTTAAGACTTAAGAGCCAAAATCCCAAAAACAACTTTTAAGAGTTCATAAATGTATACTACGTAATTTCTGTACTTGGCATTGATATATGGTAAGATATGAGTAGCCTTTATGGCTGAGATATGGACTATATTACTCTTAAAATGATAAGCTGTGGCGAGAACATAACTAGCATGCCAAAGACGTAACTGGCAGAATGAAAACAGAGGGAGGACCAAATATTGAAGCATCATTTCAATAAAGCAACTGGCTTTCATATAAATAAATAAATAAATAAAAAGTGTGTGATTTGGAGCATAAAGCTTCCTAAAATCAGTTTAAAAGACAGAAATTTAAAGTCTCAGTCTTTATGAGCTCACTTACAACTTTGATGGCAGAAAACCATGTCCATAAAAAACTAAAGTGGCAAACAGCAAAAGCCTCGCAGCAGATGATATAAAAGTTCTTCCGGAAAGGAAAAACCAGTAAAACAACAAAACCATAACAAGGAAATATGTAAAGGATTTCTTCTCGTCTCTCCACAGCAAAATGTCCGCCACTGTAAAAATAAAGCTAAAAATTATATCTGATTCAGAATAGTTAAAATGTGTATTGCCAAATATTCAGTTTAATAATGATGTATCACTCAAATGTATTTTGGCAGAGTGATTTTAAAATGATAAAATAAATCCATTTGCCACCAATTTTAGTGTGTTCATGTTTATGACCCAAAGGCAGTATACACCAAGTAGTAGTTGGTATGCATGGAACAGTAACAAAGAAAAGTACACTATTGAAGCAATCTAAGGGTGAGCTTGGCAGGGAAGGTGAAAAAGGGAGAGCAATAAATGTAGATTGGGATGGAAAGGATTTTATCCTCAGTCCTTGATGTGAAGTCAAGAGTAGAAAAACATGGGCAAAAAATCAATTTCAGCTCATTTATGTTTTCAATGGGGAGAGGTAAAAATTTAGTATGGAGTGCAAATGAGTTGCATTTCCCTTTCAACACTGCTACATTTAACTTGTATCATACAAGTGCAAAGAAACTTCCATTTGAGCTGAGCACACCCTTAAAGTAAACAAAAAATGCAATTATTCAAGCAAGTCTACGAGCAAGGTATTTATGATTCGTGGTGTTGCCCATATACTTATGTCATGTTTAACTTAATTAATTAACGTTTAATACTTTTGTGGTCTATGAACTTCTCGAAAATTTTTAATTAGGTCTCCAAATTAAAAAACTATAATTGAGTCCCTAGAATTACAAAATTTGTAAAAGATTAAGGACTTGATTATAAATTTTTTATGTTCAAGAACTTAATTAAAAATTCTCAAAAAGTTCAAGGACCTATTGATGTATTATAAGGTTAAACCATTAGTTAATTTGCAAGTCAAGAGTTAACTATTTTAATTTCTAACAAGATGAGTCACATATTCATCATGCAATAAGGTATTAACTATCAATAGGAGTTGGTAAAAAAAAACATAATTAACTGGCAGTGAATTGAACTATTCTCCTATAAAACTGAACTAGTTGAAAACTGAACTGAATTAACTATAAAAATTGAATTGAACTATTTTTATAAACAGTAAAAACTAGAGGTGTAAAAAATGACCCAACTTAATGAACTAACCCAACAACCTGAGCTTTGAAAAAGGTGTTCTGAAAAGAAAAAAAGGTTAATTTGGCCAAGGCCCGGTGAGCCAATTGAACTAGACCGAGCCACTACTTTCTAGGCTCAAAGCCTATCAGTTTATTTGACCAGATTTATTTTTTAATATTTTCCTCTGTAAAATTTAAATAAAAATAGAAAATAAGATAAAATTGGTCAAGTTGGCCTGAATCACTAGCCAAAACAATTAAATTTTAAACACTAAAACAGTTCAGTTCAGTTTGGATTACAATTCAATTCAAACTTATAAATGCAGTTCAGTTCAGTAAAACAAAAAAATTTCAGTTCAGTTTCCTTGAACTAATTTCCAATTCATTTAAGTTCAGACAATCTTTTTTTTTTAAAGTGCAGTTTTTATAAGTTCAACTTATTTACCCACTCTTACCTATCAATATGCTCCAACTTATTTCATTTCCACCAAAAGTTGCTTGACATTAACTAAACATAGCAAACCTTCACTGATGTATGTAAACATTGTATTGCAAGAGAAAGCATTATGTTTTAACCTTTTCCTCCACCTAGCAGCTTATCGGCTTTTGACTGTTTTCCACTGCAGCATCTTGAAAAGGACGAGTCTCTAGCTAAATGAGAGAATGATTCTATGGTTAATGCGACTCCTTCCTGTATTATCCAATATCAACAAATACAAATGCAAATCTTAAGAGTAAGAAATTCCAGGCCTATATATAAACATTGCCAAATAAAATATTTCACTCTAGGTTGTATATCAATAAGAAGAACCTAGTTTGTATATCTGTATGTGTGTGGGAATGGGGGTCTGAACTGTATTGAGAAGGGAACAACAGCCTTATTTTATTTAACAAATCTTCATTTTGCCTCTTTGGAGGTAGTTGCATAGTTACACTACACCCCATATAATTCAGTTATCAGTTATCACTGGGAAGGAACAAGAATATAAGATTTCACAAGTAAAAATTTAAAAAGATGCAAGAAGAATTCAACCTCAAGGGAGACTATTGGTGAGTATCCAATATCTTTCTGAGCTGCAAGGCAGTTGAAAGTTCGGGTATATAAAGCTAACTGAAAAAAATGAGCTAATAAAGGATAACTGAAGTATCTGGGTCCCAACTTTTCATGTAACCACTTTAAAACTGAGAGAATATATTGCACCAAATTAGCAGGAAGTTTGATGAATGGCCTGCAATTAAAGTCAGGATTTTCTAACTTTGTTAACAGCATAAGAGGTCATAAATCATCAATAAAGAAAATACACGTAGCCTATTGTTGCCTCCAATAGTGAATGAAATAGCAAGCCAAAATTGCTTATACCAAAGAAAGAGCTAATATGCTATGACCTCTCCTAAATGGGCAGGAAAAAATTATTTTGATATAGCTTAATTTATAAACCTTTTTCCTCTTCTAAAACTCTTATATGCTATATCATACAATCATGACAAACATATACAACTAAACATCTTGGAGACAATATTATGCCATTCAAATATTAAAACCAGTTGCTCGTTTTTACCTTTGATATCCAAGACCATCCAACAAAATTGAGAGAAATTCCCAGAATTTCATAGGCTCAAGATTTGTGATGAAAAATGCCTGCATGTGAAACGAAATATACTTTGTTATGCATCAATATTAAATCAGAGCAAGCGGTAAACTGATAATATATATACACACCTTTCCTGCCACAGAAACTGTTTGGAAATTTAAGGCTTTTTCTGCACATATATGTGCATGAGTAACATTTTCAGAAAAAGTGAAGTCTGAAAGATTGTCACCAGTCCCTATAATAAACTGAAATGAGAAATTGTCACTCTAAAATAAGTCTTGAAGTCAGCAATGCTAGCCAGTGTGAATCACATGATATATGAAAGAAAAAGAAAAAGAAAAAAGCCTTATCCCACTACGTGAGGCCAGCTACATAGATTACACAATGTCATTTGGCTCGATTAAAGGCCAAACAAATAGGAAATTTTGAACTTGACTTCATATGAAACAGGAAAGAATTTATGGCGCATCCAATAATCACAACTAATCAAGGGTCCATAATTGTTGACTCAAGTGACTGTCTCAAGAATGATAGTAGTCAATAATCAATATGAATTATGTTTATATCATATCATATAATATATATATATATATATAAAGGAGGATTATAATAATACTGGTGTAACTTTTACTACGTATTATACCACTTAATAACTTTATATTAAATGTGAATTTTGAAAATTCAACCGTTAGATTGAAAGTTCATATTTCTTAGATCATATATACAAAATTTTATATTAATCCAAGATGATTTGATACTTCATTCTTATAAAACAAAATTGACGTAATATATTCATTTCAAAATATACTAAAATATGAACACTTTGATTACCTTCAAGTTGTTGTTCAATTTTAACAAAATTTGATATACACATATAAAGTGATATGAACTTTCAATCTAACGGTTGGATTTTCAAAATTCACAATTAATATAAAGTTATTGAGCAGTGTAATACTTGGTAAAAGTTACACCGGTGTTATTATAACTCTCCTCATATATATATGAAATGAGCTTCAGATCAGACAGTTCTAAGATCAAAATTTAGTAGAAAAGAAATGGCATAGAAATACCAATCATATTTCCTATTTTAGTGAAGTTTCAAAATTCAGAGAAGGGTCTAGATCAATAGACCAATAGACATAGTACTCACTTAGTATGAAGAAAAGGTTTTTCTGGATTTTTTTTTTAAATAGGTTTTGGAAAACAAAAGGCAGAAAACAACTTTTTTACACTTTCTTCAGAACTCAAATATCTTTATCTCCTATGCTTAGAAAAACATCACTAGTTTGTTGGGGGAGGGGGAATTCTATTCAAATAGGTACATACAAAGAACACCAAGATGTTACATGAATCCAAAATCTGTCCGTTGATCTTGACCTTTGGAGAGGGCAAATAAGCAAGAGGGAAGAGTTGTTAAACAAAAATCTCTTTTCTAGTGTTCAAGAAAACTGACATAAGGCAATATTATAATTACAACTTTATTGTAATAGTGGTGAAGTTATTTTTTGTAAAGCTTAGATTAGGAAATAATATTAAAACCACCTTCCCCCTCCATTTGACAAATGAATCCTACAAATGTACAACTATAAACAAAAAAATATATATATATCCAGGGCAAACAGAAAACTACCTTTGCAAAACCATATCTTGCTAACTTCAGAAAATATGGCACAAATTTTGTGTCACCGGGTCCAAAAACATTACTAGGACGAAGAGAGCATGTCAATAGGCCATCAATGTCATTGACACTCAGGACCAAAGCTTCTGCTTGAGCCTTTAGGTCACTTAACATGTCGTCAATCTGCAATTCATATTTTCCCCTATTATAAATGTTTATTTGTTCACAAATGAAAATCATCTAATCTAAACTAGCTATTAACGATTAGAAAAAACAAAAGAAGCTCTTTCAACAAAACCGTACTTTCCAAGGATACGCCAACGACTCGTCTCCATCATGAATATCATGCAAACCATCAAATACAACATCCGCAGAACTGTTATATATTAGGCGTCTCACTCTACATTCTCGGCACGCACTAATGACATTCTTTGCACCTGAATAATAAAACATCAAATTTCGTAAGCAAAAACGTCGAATCGACGGAAATTAACGCGGCAAATGGAAGAGTACCTTGAACTATGAGCGTATAGCAAGTATAGAAGTCATTCACATCGATGCTGGCAACATCCATATAAAAGACAACAGAGGAACCTTCAAGAACTGCAAATTACGCATTTCAACGCTGCAATTAGTTTTCACGGACGGCGTATTTCATTCCAAACGAAATAGAAAGAAAATCACGTGGATTCGACTGTGATATACACAGACGATCACGTGGCTTTCAACAGAAAGGATTGAAGAACGTGTGAACCTTTGGCAATGTTGCGCTTATCGCGAAGGTCGATGTGGAAGTAGGAAGCGCGAGCAGAAGAGAGAGCTTGAGCGAGGAGAGACTCGGAGTCGTGGAGTTGGATAGAGTGAGCGGAATCGGCAACTCGGACGATCCAGTTACCGAGTTTCAACAGCCTCAGGACCAACGATCTTCCGAGGAATCCTGTGCCGCCTAAAACGACGCACGTCTTAGGGTTGAAATCTGCGAACCGATCGTCGACCGCCATTGCTATTAGTGCGAAAACGAAGAACGTTAACGTCGTATCATATATTCAATAATTCATATAATGTGATGTGAGTGAAAAAGGAGAGAAGGAGAGAAAGAGAGTATAGTTGCTTAATTAACCTGTTGTTCGTCTTGTTCTGCGTTTCCTTTGGCGCGGAAACTGTTAACTCTGTATTGGAAAGCAAATCGCACTGAGAGTGGGTGGGGACCGCTGTTAGAATCTTTTGGACAAGGGAAGGACGAGGGTTAATAATCTGATAATGACGCTTAAAAACTCTGATGTTAATGCTATGCTACACACGGAGGGAGAAGGGGAGGAGGGACCAACTACCATTTAATTTGTTTGTATTATTATTATTTATATTTATATACTAAGCTGATGATACCATTACGTAACGTTACTGTTACTTTTCACTACCATGCTGTGGCTGTGTAGGGGCCTACTAATACTAAATTGCAGTCCTTGCACATTTTATGCGCTTTTCTGACTCGTTAAGACAAAAGACGTAAACGTTAGGACACACATCCAACTGCACCTAATTGGAAGTGGTTAACCAAATAATGATCCTATGGGGGTGCTACCAACAGATATGAGATGACATGTGCAGGACTATAATTATTTGAACACATACAAGATTAGCACATAAAGTAATTCTCTCATGTTCGAGAACCGTGATGATGGCGTTGTCAGTTTCTTTGAAGAGTGGCGATTAATACCCAAGTTGTTGCAGTTTCGGGTTTTAGGTGAATCCATCCATCAATTTAAAAGTGAGAGTAACAACCCACCATACTCGAGAGTCCTAGTTGTTAAGGCCCCAGGGTTATACTCCACATCTTAGTCTTTCTCAAAAAGTTACTTAACTCACTTCCCAAGGTGAGAGGAAATACGAATTATATTAGTTCTACGGCAAACGATCACTGCCGGGTCAAAATATGATCTTCAATGAATGTTAGAACACGTTTAAATAAAATATTTGAAGTCAAACACATGATTAAATACAATATTTTAATGCTTTCATCCTCTATACTTTCGTTTCAAGTCATGTACACTATCAAGCGCAAAATCTCATGCAACATTGTATCCGAGAAGTCTGTTTCTCAACACATCATAGTAGACACTCACGTTAACATGTGATGCCTTCATAAGGAGGGAAATACAAAATGGCAAAGGTAGTCCGTTAGCCTAAATAAAGCCGGGGTTAATGCTCTTTATATGTACAAACTAGTTTTTGGAATATTGAAAATCATCGTATCACAAAAGTACAATGGATCAAAATACAACTTTCTCAACATATGCATATGCTAACACGAGGGGAGTGTCTGAGCGGCTTCCCTGCATCATCATGATTCTGACTCCCATCATGCCAACAAAACTGAAATCTAATTTACATTTCAAATGAACCCAAAGAAAATTGAAAAATTATATTACGATACCACCAAGTAAATATTATTCCATTGATGGATTCATTAACCTAATCTATACAGAAAAAGTATCTTTAGAATTTTAAGATTTAATTAAAAAATTCTAAAAATGATCGTTTGCCTGCCGAATAACACCCAGAGCTTCTGCATCATCTGCTGTGGCTGCAATATTTAACTTTTGCCGGATTTCCATGCTCCATGTGCGAAGAAATGGATTGCAAGCTTTTTCCGTTTTCAGCGTAGTTGGAATCTGAGAAAACAGAAATAATTTGGTAAAAGCAAAACACAAGATTCAATCAGACCAACAACTAACAAGGGTATGTAAGCTTTGATAACAATGAGTTGTGACAAGATTAGTGATGAAGAGCTGCTACCGAGAGGACAATTGAAACTACCCATTAAAGAAGCTCAGTTCTGAAAATTACCGTGGGCAAGCCCTTATTTCTAAGCTGAGCTACATGGGCAGCATAGGATTGAAGTTCCTTGTTTCCAGGTTCTATAGACAAGGCAAACTTTGAATTACTCTGCATATTTCAAGGCACCAAAGTCAGGGCTGCAGCATTCAGGCACAGAAATGAAGCAGGGAAAATAAAGAATGAAAGTAAAAACAACTAACCAACGTATATTCATGACCACAATAAATACTTGTATCATCTGGCAAAGACATGATCCTTTTAAGAGAAGATAGCATCTGTAATGGAAGAAATTCTCGATATAATTAAAGAAAAAATGCATTACAAGCTTATGAATTTATAGACTGGAGCACATAAAAGAAATGGCTTGCATTCAAAGCCACATTGTACATCAGCAATACGTTTTAAAAAAATGAAAACATTATTATAACAGCTAAAATAATATTTATTGATATAAGTGATTTCTTATATTAACGTAGCAATAGTAAGAAATGGTACATCAGTGTGTATTTAATTAGTCTTACCTAATATCTTAATAATTCGATTCAAATGTTCCTAAACTAACATTGTAGACATGGAGAATTTTCCGATTAGATTAAGAATAAAAACATGGTAATCTCATTTTAGAAGAATTTTAATGAAATAATTCAAATTCTTGAAGAATCTCAAGTGCTTTGGGATGAAATGTTGTTTGAATGGAGAATTTACAAATAATTTGAAATTCAAGCATATTTGAAATTTCTTAAAATTGTAAAATTTCAAATTTTTTCAATAAAGATATTAAAATTCTTCTTTCTCTTTTTTCTCCTACTTTTCAAAGTCGATATAAAAAATATAAATTATTTTTTAAATTATTGAATATTCAAAATTATTTTTAAAATTATTAAATATTATCTAATATTAATTTTAAAATTATTAAATATTGAAAAATTAGCTAATATTTGGTTTATAAATTTAATCCTAAAAGTTCATTATATATATGTGTGTGTATGTTTAAAATCAATTTTACCCATGGTGAAAATCAAATTGTCTTATTCAAACTAAGAATTTAAAATTCAAAAAAAAAATTGAATTGATTTGTCCAAATAAAACATTTAAGGAATGATGAAAATTGAAAGCAAAGTAATTTAAATTTTAAGAATTTCAAATTCCTTGAATTTCTAAAATTACTCATCCAAACACACTATCAACAAATGAAGTCAAACAACTACCATATTTTGTACGGGAATTTATATTCATTCATTCACAAAACAATGCAAGTTTCAATAATAATAAAGTCCTTATTTAGTTGCAGTTCAAACCACTGTAGTTCAACCCCTTTCCTGCAGGTATTTGCAGTTGAAGTCTGCTTCAGGTAGTTAGTTCAATTTAAAATGAATATAGAAACAAGAAAAAAAATATTGCAACAAGATGCAATGCCACATGAGAAACGAAATGCAATTCAAATCAACCTGTTCAGGGGTTCCTTCGAAGAGCTTGCCACATGATAAGCTGAACAAGGTGTCTCCGGTAAAAATTGCCCCAGATCCTGGAAAGTAGAAGCTTACATGACCTGCTTACAGTACAAATGACATTAGCAGCACCTCACCACCTTGAGCATGTTAATTGCATAGCCTAACACTAGAGCACTACCCAAAGCAACAACGCAAAAATTGTTCATAGGACAGTCCTACAACATAGTATCGACAAAATAAATCCTGGAGTCTAGACATGGGAAAGGAAGTTAAAGACTGGGGTTCTGTGAGAGCCAATAATATGCAAGTCAGGCTAAACCAAGAACATAAATGACTTCAAGTAAAAACCAGTAGTTTAGTCAATATAACAGCAAAGAAAATGGAGCTTAGATTTCCATGGTGTTGAAAATTGTAGATTAAAGTGACGGGGTCATGGCAGTTGGAGAGATATGCCAGATAAAAGATAATATAGAAACTTATTATACAGTCAAGTAGATTGCAGGAGAATAAGAGAGCCAAAATAACAAGCCAAACCAGACAGTTATTTTATCAATTAACTTAAACTATATCGAAAAGAAAACAACAACTAAGAATATTTACTAATGCAAATAGACCATGAATCTGACCTTCGGTGTGACCAGGTGTGGCCAATATATGAACCTCATGGCCTGCAAACATCCAGATATCTCCATCACTCAAATAGATATCAATACCAGGAATTCTTTCCTTGTCTATTTCTGAACCAATTACCTGCAAGGCAAGCAAGTGTTAGACATAACTCAAAGTAAACCTCACTTAAATCTTCTCTTTACAATTTGCTGACAACAAATAAACCTTGACAAAAGATAAAAAGATCATACCTTTGCCCCATACCTTTCTTTCAACTCTGCATTCCCACCAGTTTGATCATGATGGTGGTGAGTGTTCAGTATGTATGTCAAATTTAGATTCTTCTTACTCAACGCATCTATGATAGGCGCAGCTTCAGAGGGATCAACAACACCAACTGTCCCCGTATCCACGTCATGTAAAAGATATGCATAATTGTCTCTAAGGCATGGAACCTAAAAATTTATTAAAAAATAATGAGACAACACAGCACATACTAGGATTTTGGTATATTGCTCCAGAGCTTATGAGCTTGAGCGACTGAATATTAATCCAATCGATGCAACATAAAACCTTCAAAAAGGCGAGATCCGCTCACCAATTCTATCTGCAATGAGGAAGATAAATTCACTACACTGCAAAATTGATCCACTCTCAACGACCGACTAGCTCCACGGATTGTTTTCAATGGTATAGAAAACAATCGCATAAATCCATATAGAAGACCTTTCCTTAAGCAAAGTTGTCTCGCATCTGGCCACACGCAAAACCCACTTCTTACCTAAAAGACATAGAACAATCAACACCTATTTCCAAATCATAATCAATAGCCACCTCTTCAGCCAAGATTTTAGTTAACAAACATACAGATACTTAAAAATGCACAAGACTAAAACCACCATGTGAACGAAAACTTGCAATGCCAGTGTGGAGATGATACAAATATACTCATTAAACTCCAAACCACATGCCAAACCGAATTACCTTGAAACAAAATTACTATAATAATATTAAAGTAAAACATTTCACAAATTACAAGGTAATACCAGTTCCAATTAATTGCTGCCAAATAATATTCTAATCCTCGTGAGAGATCTACACTAGAGAGATCTGACACACACGAAAATTAATCAAATCAAATAACAAACACGGAGATTCGATTCTCAGTTTCTCGCACAACACTCCAACAAAACGACGACGTGAAGCGTAAAGAAGACGGAAAACGTGTTTCTCTTAAAATATCATTCCGCGATCTACGATTCTGCGAGGCAAAACAAAACAAAGCAAAATAAAACGCAACTGCAACAAAGAACGCAATCAATTAAAATACCTTGGAATCACTCATCGAATGCGAGGCGAGAGATGAGGAAACGATGAGAGACGAGAAAGCGCGTTCTAATTAAATAAAGAAAATGAGAATAGTGTGTGTGTGTGTGAGAGAGAGAGAGAGAGAGAGAGAGAGAGAGCAATCGATCGGCAGAAGAGAGATGAATGTGAGGAATTTGCAGAAAGGGAAAACCCTAGAGGAAGAGGAAATGCATCTGAATGAAACTTTAAAAGAGAAGAAGCAGTTGCATTTATGTTTGTTACGTTGACACACTTGAGTCTACTGTTTGCTTGAAAACGATTTTGCTTTTTCTCCCTCCCACCACCTTTTCTTCTCCCACCTCCCACCAACCTTCATTTTAAATTCTTTATATTCTTCTTCTCCCTTTTTTTTTAATTATTTTTTGTGCTTATATCATTCATTTTTTTTTCTTATTTTTTAATAAAATACAAATAACTTTTTTTTTTCTCCTGAATTCTGTAAATCTTCTTAAACAGTGTTTCCACGTTAACATGATTTGAAAGTAATTAGCGTAAAGGTCAACAAAACTTATTATATGCAGTCAAGAAAATAAATACTTTGTACTTTTTTATAATGTTTTTTTAATACTATCATCCAAATAGTTGATATTCATTGAACTCATACATTAAACTGTTTTCAACATTAGATATTTTTTTTCCTCTTCTTTCCTCCTCTTTTTAAATAAATCATCAATTTTATTTTTCATTTAGTAAATAATCTTAATATTATGTATAGTCAAAAGAATATAATATAAATAGATTTATATTTCTATGGTTTTATACTGTTAAAGTTTCTATTTGACAAGAGTTATTTTTATGTTATATTTAAACCCATGTTTTGAAATATCAACAAATTATAAAATTAAGAGAGGAAGTGATTTTATTTATCGAGGTTGAGAGAGTAAATATTACAAACTTTTAATAAGTATAATAAAAGTAAAAGATTTAACAAGTCAATAAAAATAATAACAAGGGGAAAAAAGTAAGTAAGAGACTTTCAAGCTTGAATATTATAAGTTGTTTTCAAATAAGTTGGACTTTTTAATAAGTTATTATCCCAAATTTATGATCATTGTGTATTGTGTTAACTAATTCAAAAATAAGTACAAATAAAAGTATATCTTAAAAAAATGATTAATATTATTTTATAAATAAATAAAGTGAATCTTTATTTGTTTCGATGCAACAATCAATTTTTATGATGAAATAAGCAAAAGTTATATTATGAATTAAATAATAAATATATTATTCTGTAAAAATTGAATTAATAAAAATAATCAAACCACATTCCTAAATATATTATCACAATGCCTCTTTCTCCCAATGGCCACAATTATCTGTAAAAGTTTCCTAGACAATGAAGGACATTGTTGTTGGGACGAAACAATATAGACCAAGCTTCTTGTTTACACGTGTTCAAAAGTGGTAACCTTCCCCATAAAGATAACACCTTGTACCTTTATGCAATGTTTCACACTTCACATCCCAAACCCCAAAGTTTAGCTTTTTATATACAAACCCTGTTTATTTTGAGGGAAAATACCAGGTATTAAACAACATAAATATAGTCATTACAACATTTTTTTATATGTCTATTTTTATTTATTTATTAAAAGTTGCCTCTTTACTATTGATGAAGCAAGATAATAGTATGTAATTATGTATACCTTGTTCAAATTAAATAAATATATCATAAGAGCAAGTTAATTCTTAGTTATATGAGACATTTTGTAAAACATGTTCATAGATAAAAAAAATTATTGAACAAAAATATATCGATTAATATTCATAAAATATTTCACTTTATTCTCTTTTTTCTATTTATAAATCATTTTCTCCCTCTTATGTCTCCTTTTTTTTAGATTCTAATTATGTTGTGTTTGGCAACTACTATCAGTGTGTGTTTATGTTAATGTTGAAATCAAAAAAATTGTTTAGTTAAAATGTAATAAATTTGTATTTGACATAATTAATTTTGAGTTGTTAAATATAATTTATACACATGTTAATTCAAGAGATAATCTTTGTTTTTGTTTTAAGGATAATGATAAGTTGATAATTATTTTTCTTCTTAATATTGATTAAAGTATTATTTAACATAATACAGTAATTACTTAATTAAAAATACGGTTTAAATATTAAACACTAATAAGATGTAAGTAATTTGCTTAAAAGTAATTGAAATAAAATAGTAGACAAATTCACGTGGAGGTGGAGGTGGAGATTGGAATGGGGAGCATGTTGGTGAAATGATGAATGAATTGTGGCTACGGCGTTCCACCATGCCATTGCCACCGACTGTTCTGTACTAATATTAATAAAATTGTCGGTTTATGCAAAAATCATTTAACTTTTTTTAAGTTTAATTTTAAGCTCCAGTTTTATAGAAAGAAACATAATTAAGAAAAAAAAATTCCATTAGAAGTAATTAATTAATTTTCAATAAATATTAATAATCTGAATATGATGTTAAAAAATTTGCTTTACCTCAGTTCGCATTAGCTGGTTAATGACAAACATGCGATGCCGTATCCTGTAATTTTTTTGCACTAAAATTTATGATTCGGCAATTCTATTTTAAATTTATTTCAGCAAATTATTTTCTTTTCCTCTCCATTTTTTCCTCCTTGTTATTCACGATGCTTTTTGACTTTTATTTATTTATTTATTTTTGTTGTTATTCACGATGCTTTTATGTATTACAAATCAATCATGAGTTGTCTTTTGACATATTTAGAAACTAATTTGATATGTACAAATGAGATGGTATTGAATTATTTGAAAAAATTTAACTAAGAATTTAAAATTTATTTTAAGCTACAATATTCATATATCTCATTTTTATTAAATAAAATTAACTCAATTATATAATTTTTAATAAATTTTGATAATAATAAAATATGTTAAAATATATACTAGAAAAGATTTTCTGCGACACTCCCTACAACAATAATTAACTAATTATCTCTTATTTATTTTAAAAAATTTACAATAACAACATTAATATTCAAATCCAAAATTTCAATAACCACTAACATTCAAATCTAAGACATTACCTCAATCTCTGCTGCTAATCTAAATCAACCCTAGTTGTTCGTCAATTATCTCCTACTAGAAATACAAAAAGCATTTTGATGATAAACTATAATAGCAATACAATACTGCCATCTAAGGCTTGAGTTTTTGCAAAAATAAATATAAAAAATATACAATACTGCTGTTACTAAGGCTTGAGATAAAGTTCCTTTCGTAACCTAACTTTTTCTGTAACCACCGGCTAAAAAGAATCCTTCCTATTTAACCACATCATCAACAATAGGATGAAAAATATTTCTGCTTTAAAAAAGAGTAAAAAATACGGCAGAGAATAGAGATTGTAGTAATGTACTAAAAAATTCATTTTCTTTTTTTTTTTTCATTGCCCCTTTTCGGTTACAGATAGATAGTTTTAATTCCATCCTCGAATACAGTATCAGCTTACCAGCTGTTACCTAATAATCCAAAAGAAATCAAAGTTAACATAATGACTGACTCTCATTTTTCAGATGGTACAGTTCTATTCAGTAGTACAGCTCGGCATGGTCAGTGCAGTTGCAGCTTTGGTCCTACACAATTCACAACACTCAAAAAACTTCAAAGATGCATTTTATTTCTGCAGTTACTCCTCGGTCACCTACCTAGGGTGCACGTTTCAAAGTTCATCCTGAAAGTGTCAAAGACCAAGGAAATGCATATTTAATAAGAGTAATGAAAATAAAAATGATCCTTACCTTACTCAAAAAAGTTGAAAGACAAATGTAGCAAGGAAATGCATTATATTGCATGTTTGCTTTGAAATTAATTTGAGAAAAATGATTTTTTTTTCCTTAAAGCTCTTGTAAGGGGGTAAAAATGATTGTCTTTAAATTAATTAATTCAAACATGCCCTGGCAATCTAGCATGATTTGAGGCGGATCATCGATTTTGACGAAAGAAAGATAGGATAATGGAGAGGAATGGTCTTGCTTAATAGGAATTTATTTCTGATATTGCGTATTTCGGTACAACAATACTTTTCTTAATATTGTTTATCTTGAATCACTGCAAATTTTGCCCTTTTCTTGAGACGCTGAACAGATAGACTTTACTAGATGACCTTGTGGTCACAGCTAGAAGGTATACAATTTTAGTTTGAATAATGTCTTGTTGCAAATATATTGGTTGTATTTGACTATTTGGAGTTGGATATGGAAAAGGTTGATATCTAAATGGCAACGAGTTATGGGCAGTGGTTAGTGGTCAAACCCAACGACAAACTCAAGCAACCTAGCAACCTCAATCAATTTCAGTAGCTCAAAGTTGACACATCATTACATGAACAACGGAAAGCAATAAAATATTACGAGACATATTCACATCAAATATTAAAGACTCCGATATTTTTATTTTAAGTTTTAATTTGATTTCTTAAATTTAAAAGGTTTCATTTTGATCACTTAAATATTTTTGTTAAGATCAAATTAACCCTTTTGTCAATTTATCTCACTAACTTATCTCAATTTAGTGATAGCTAATAAACTATATGGATGCCACATCATCCAAAAATTAAGACGCTAATAAAGTTGATGAAAGAACTAATTTGACTAATAAAAATGCCTCAAAAGATTAAAGTAAAACTTTTTAAACGCAAGGAACTAAATAAAAATAAAAATAAGAGACCCAGATATCAAATAGCAGAGAATTTTAGGCTTACATGGTAATCATCCATATCGTGGGGATCCGGCTGCAAAACAAAGTCTTAAAATCAGAATTTGTAGCCCATACAAGCAATAAGTGATCATAAACCCATTGAACTAAAAGCCAAATAAAGTCACATGGATTGGCCAGGGAATTAAAGAGAAAAGAAAGCAAAAAATAACTGTAAATTTGCAATGTTTAGCTTCCCCCTCAGTGGTCCCAAACTCATGTTCTAATGTTTCCCTCTATTTTCAAACATGAACCCTGCATAGACCTCTTGCAACTACATGTTTTAAAGGAAAGAGTTCCCAAAGCACAGCGATGAAATTAATCTCAATTCACCAAGTATCATATATTGCATATTCTCTCCTCTCAAACACGGATTAGTAAAGAAGGATAACAAGAAGTCTTCCATGTCAGTTGTTTCCCACCCGCCATAATATTGATTCCTACTGTGCAAAATAGAAAAGATAAACCAACACCTTTACTGCAAGGTTACAAATAAATGCATTTATACACCCCAGAACAATTTCTGGAGTGGAATCTGGACAAAAAATTACCCTTCGACGACGCCTCCTATTGCCATATTTGTGATCCCTCTCCCTCCTCCTTTTTTCACCCTCTTCTCTTGCTCTCCGTGCCTCCTACATAATCATAAAATCAAATGGCATTGATATTGTACGGAAGTAACAAAACAAAAGTGATTATCATACACATTAAAATAGTGCTGAAGCACTTGGGCTTTGAATGATCACCTCTTCTTCCCGAGCCCTTCTTTCTTTTTCTGCTTCTTCAAAAGCTTCTTTTTCAGCCTGAGATTATACACATAATGAGAACGTATGATTCCTAACACCTACAAACTCAATAACAGATACAAAATCTGAAAGTAAACGCTCACCTCTCTATTATTAGCCATAAAATCATCCACAGCTTGCTTTGCATACTGGGGATCATCACAAATTAAGATATTGTCGTAAACTGAACCTGCCTTCACCTAAAAATTCAAAATTTAATGTTGTCACATTTCAAATATTCAAGTACAGATAATTTTCTAGGCAACTACTACTCAGGACATGTTTGGGTAAACAATTTAATCAACCACATATTCATTTTTTTTGTTATTTAACAGCTTGATCCCAAGTTTAACAGTGAAATTTACCAAAATAAGCTAAAAAGAGCTTAATAAAGGCCATAATCCACTTTCATGAACTAAAATAAGCACTTCTAAATGCTCCTTCAATCAATAAAGAGGAAGAACAAAAGGTGTATATATATTGACACACACCTGCCACACTTCAATGCCCACATACTTAATTGGTTTGAGAACATAAAGATCAGGATCATCCTCAAATTCTGCAGAAAATGGTGAAAGGGAAAGCAAAATCGTAATAAGATATGACATTCATAACATTTCAGGAGCATGAGCAGAGAGTAAAAATCAAGCAATGTGACAGCTCAGAGATGCTGACTAAACCAATTGCTGCCCATAAATTCATGGCACATCTAAAATATTTCACAACAAATTTGCTTAACATTCATGCAGAGGTTCATATATGCTCAAGTGAATGCAATGGAGGCTGCAGGATATTACTAAAATTATTGTTAGCCTAGTAGCTAACCAGTGACAAATATCTGGATACCATTTTATAATTTTTTTTGTCCAGTGAAATTCCCCTAGCCAACAAGAAGTTAGCAAAAACTACTGTTTAATTCCATATAACATTATAATGTCAGCATATTTCATATTTGCAACAGTTACAAGTTGACACAACAATAAATGACAGCCTAAAAATATAAGCTAGTTATCTCACTTGTCTTAACCACCCAATTAATGCTTTGAAACTTACTTTTTGATTCTACTAACAACAGTCACCAGCATATATAACAAATCTACCTGGGTTATCAATCCATGGAGTCTTCCACTTTCCTTTGTAGTTGGGGTTCTTGATTTTCTGCAGTTCAACAATTCTCAACAATTAGAAAACCTAAAAAATGAATGCCTTCAACTTTTAATGTATAGCTTGAAGAACCTTGCGTTTCCATGGTCCTTTGTATGCTGGATTAGGAATCTTTGGGGGCTTCCATAGTCCATCATCTTCATCATCCCAGTAAGCAGGCTACCCAAACAAAGAATTAAACAAGAGAAAGAAAAAAGCATTCATAACTCAAAAGTACATGCTAAATTAAGACTTCTTTCAATAATAGTGATCATAATATCCAAATAATATTTATTGACATTTTTCAAATACAAAATGTGCAGTAAACAAATCAACCTTCTTGGCTTTTGGATCAGGAATTTCAACTGGAATTGAATCATATCCCTGCAAAATAAATAAATTAAGAAGGAAGCACGTGAAAACTTAATTGGAAATAAATTGTCAAATTGATGTTCTATTCATATTAGAATCTACTTTCAGTTTATTACCCTTTCAAATAGATAATCTAATACATGTAAGTGTAACAAGGGACAGAGAAAAAGATAAGCAGCATCTGCAAAAGTTTGATACCATTTATGACGCTTGATGAGATTGATTAGTTAATGAAGAAGTAATTCTAACCATGCTTATAACTCGATATGATTATTTTGTTGAAAATGGAAACCTCTTCAATACAATAATAAACAATTTTTTTCTAAGAGGCTAAGAGCCCAGCTAGTTGTAGCAGAGTGTGTTCTAAATTGCACTGTGATTGCAGAGACCATGAAACCCAGTCACATTGCAGTTACAAACCACAACTTAAAACACTGACAGCAGCTATTATCTATTCATGTGAACATTAAACTTAAAGTGATATTGAAAAGTCATACTGCTATATAAATTCATAAAGGTGATCACTAAAGATTTTCTTGTAAGTGCAAATGCTAAAATTGTAAAGGTGAAGGTGTTTGACAAACTTAATGAAAATTTGAAGTTACCTGCAGAAGATTAGAGTGAAGAGGAGGGAAACAGTACCTCTGGTTTAACATCATTAGGATCTTCGATGTACTCTTTATCATCCCAGTCTGCCGGCTACAATAGGGAAAATAAGAAGTTTTAGATGAAAGGTAAATTGATAGATAAAGAAGATGTACCAAAAGGACCAAAATGTTTCCTATCTCGTAGAATGTTTGTTTAAGTTATTTTTGAATGTATGACCTTTGAGACCTCCATAGAACAATAACATTGCAGCTAATAATCTTAAGATGGCAATTACAAATATTCATCATTCAAATAAGACGAGACACAAATGAAGGCCAACACACCAAGTCTAGTCCCAAATTGTACCTTTTTTGCATTGACATCCTTGATTTTCCTTGGAGGAAGGATGTCCCAATCTGTGTACATGCTTCCAGAATCTCTTTCCCGATTATCAACTAGGACACTATAAGAGGCATCAGGCCTCAGAATAAATGTATAGAAATGAGTCAACTTATCAGTTTCACATTGCAGATCCTTTCTAATAGGGTAATTCTGCCCCTGGTAGGATAGTATAACATGGAGCTTCTTTGTCTGCGAACCACATATATCTGGTCCGAACATCAAACTGAATCAAACAAGAACCATCAGTTCACTCTACTCAGCACAATGACAGACTAAATAGGACACCAAAGCAAATGTGTCTACAACCCATTAAAAAACTCAAACCTTCACCTCAAACAAGTCCATAAGTATATAAATTAGCAACACACTCGTTTTAGTACACTGAACGTAATTCATCGAGATTCACAAAATGACTAAGGCCCAAATGTATGAGGTAGCACGCTTGTTAGTTTCCATCTTAAAATCAATTGGCTTTATGCAAAGTTGTCCAGTAGATATATAAGTTGCAGCCCAAGAATTGAGACAAACAATGTGGGACTCTTCCACAAATGCCTATCAGAATAGGCAATTTACCAAGATGGACCATAGGCTATGATACCATGTTAGATTTCATCTTAAAACCAATTAGCTTTAAGTGAAATTGTCAAACAAATATATAAGATGTACCCCAAGAATTGAGACAGGCAATGTGGAACCTTCCGACAGTGCTACTAACATTTCTCTATATTATATACTTCATCTCAATAAAAGCCCATATTTTTTTAACCAAACTAGCCTATAAACAGGAAAAATGCATATGGCATGAGAAGTTAACGAACCTATAAGGAGTATCACCACCAAACTTCTTCTGATTAACATAACCAGAAAGAAGTTTGATGTAACCGCCACCACATTCAATGTCCTGCTCAAACCTAATTGAATACTGCAGCACCAGGGTTCTGTTCTTGTTGCTTAACTCCGGTATCTTGGCAGATATGGCGAAATGCCTGGCGTCATTATACGTCTGAAGACCTGCAAGAAAGAGTTGCATCATAATAACTGTGACCAACATAACAATTCAATTCCAAAGAATCTGAGTAATGATAAGAACAACAATTAATGAGAATGAAATGAACGTGAATACCTTTGTCATCAGGATCACCAGACCATTTCCCTGCAGTGTGCTTGAAGGTGCCAGCTTTCCCCTCGCTCCTTTTCCAATCGGATAACACCCAACGGCTCTTCCAACCATCTTAAATTAATAATCAATTAACAAAGCGCGTTGAGGTGAAAAATGTAAATGATCATAAGAAAACACCACGAAGATTCTGGAATCTAATGACGAGGATTATCATTACCTTCGAATCTCTCTTCGAAGAAAACCTCAGCAACTGAAGAGTGAAAAGTTAGAAGCAAAAGCAAGAGGCTTAAGAGATGACTAGTGTTACCACTCGCCATCTCATTCGCTAAAGTTGCTTCAGATTTCAGCTTAGAGTGTTGAGTTGAGTTGAATTCTAAGCGAATTTTAAATAACTGATGGTAGTACTTTCTAGAACGCTTCCACTAGCATTAAAATATTTAAATTTATTGCATAACTATATATATATCCTCTCCGTCAGAATATTAATCATGTGTGATTGGAAAAACTTTTATATTTTTTAGGTATTTATAAAAGTTTTGCTGCCTAAATGTACAAACAAGTAAATAATAATTATTTGAATGTTATTTTCATCAAAGTTTATTAGGATAAAATATTAAAAAAAAATGGTAAATTTATGAGCAAGTACATCTTATAATATTTTCCAGTAAAAGGTGTGCCCTCTTCATAAATTAAATTATCATATACTGAAATATGCTATCTTTCTTATTACCATGTGAGGTAATAATATACACACGACAATTCCTTTTTTGGATACATTATTATTTTACGCAATTTTTTCTTTTTATAAAAAAGTTTAGATTATAGAAAAGATTTGTCTTTATGAAAAGTTAAGCAAGATCACAAATTTCACTTTCACCTAGAATTTATAAGAAGATTGTATATAGCCTATCAATAAGTTGTCTTGATAAAGTTTAAGCCTTAATAGTGTGTTTAGATGAAAAATTTATATAGGATAATTTATTTATTTAAAAAATTTCAAATTTTTTGAGGTGAAATGTTTTGTTTGAACGAGGAATTTACAAAGAATTTGAAATTCAAGCATTTGTAAAATTTTTTAAAATAGTATAATTTCAAATTCTCTCAAAAATGAGAGAATTTGAAATTCCTCATATTTATTTTTCTTATTTTACCTATATATTTTATCTTATCTCTTCATTTTTTTAATTATTGGATATTCAAAAATATTTTTTAAATTATTAAATATTATCTTATATTAATTTTTAAAATTATTAAATATTATCTAATATTAATTTTTAAAATTATTAAATATTTAAAAATGAATTAATATTTATTTTTATAAAATTTAATTTAAAAATCTCAACATATAAATATATTTTTAAAATCAATTTTACTATGATGGAATCAAATTATCATATTCAACCTAACAATTTAAAATTTAAGAAATTTGAATTGACTCATTCAAACAAAATATTTTAAAAATGATAGAAATTGAAATCAAAGTAATTCAAATACCAAGAATTTAAAATTTCTTGAATTTGTAAAATTTCTCGTCCAAACACACTATAACTTTGTTAGATAGAAAGGCCAACTAAGTGCACCAACCTTATTTAACAATCTAGCCAAAAATAAACTATCTAAGTTACATGATTCTATGTTTCTATTTCTATTTGATATAAATAAGAATAGTTTTATTTTCTTATTCACTCTTATTTATTAAATAAAGTTTTTAATTTTTTATATAAAATATAATAAATTATTGTAAAAAAATATAGCATTATTCATATAATAAGTGTATGAACAAAAAATAGAAAGAGCAAGTATTTCGTCATTAAATTTCAAACCAATATCTATTCACGATATCTTTGGTCTTTTGGTCTGAACATGCCACAAAATCAAAATCCATGAGCTTGATAATACCTTCAAGGAACAATAGGCCGACCCAATGTTTATTTACACCTACGATGAATGATTAATGAATGAACTTTAAGATGGGATTTTTTTTTTTAAATAAATTTATTATAATTTTATTTAAAATTTAGAATATAAACTTATTAAGGAAATTCTTGTAACCAATTTAATTCAATATGATTTTTTTTTTCAACCCTAAATAGTATGATGTAAGATTTTAAGCCGCAAGAAATGTTGCAGAAGAAAATGCACTTTTGTTTTGTAGTAATGCAACAATAATGGTACAAATAGAACCTCTTTTATACAGGAAAAAAAAAATCATAATAAGAAAAAGTCTTTTGAAAAAAAAATGTATAATAACTCTTAATGAATTAATATCATTTATTAAATAATTATTAATTATTTATTAATTTTTAAAAAAATGATATTAATAAATAATTTCCTTTTTTTAGATTAGAAAGTACTTTACTCACCTTTGGTTTGGACCTGTGACAGTTGAATTGCAAACAATTATACATCCTTTGTGGTTTAATTTTAATATCCATTAACTTAGCAATATCTTTACCGCATGCCATTAAAGTTGCATCTTCTCTGATTGAGTTGAGTCCAGAATATTGATATCTCCAAGTTTTTCTTCCCATGATATATTTTGGTACACAAGTTATATCACCGTGTCATGACTTGATAACCATATGCTAGTTATTTGAAGGGAATCACAAAGAATCATAATCATGCAAGAATCACTTCTGCTTATATCTGTCCACTGTTTCAATTTCTGTAATTTCATATGGCAATAACTTAGTTAAAGGAAAAGAAATTCCTCACAAATCACATTGGCTACTTCCCAAGACCAAAACACATGCAGGATTTATGTACAAAAAAAAATGAGTGGAAGAAGAGAAATTCTTTTGAACAACTTTTGGTGACTAAATTTCCTCCCATGCCACCATAAATAATGCATCCTCAACCTAATCTATGTACTCATTCATCACTTTTTGGCTTTGATCTCTGCTGTTTGGATTCTAGGTGATGACTGTGATCCACCACTGAGTGCCGCAGCAGCGGATTCAACATGTGTAAGAAGATATTCATATATCTTCTTCCTCAACCTGTCAATTGTATCTGCTGGTATCTGGCATGGTTCTCCCTCATTCTTGCTTGATCCTATCTCATCAAGCCAATCATTCACACTTTTCAGTTGTGTGAGCATACCCGCTATTTGGCCATTATTTGACAAGCCAGTGTCCCCATCAGTGTCCAAGAATCTCTCAACAAACACCAAGAACCAATCTCGTGACCGCAGTTGCAGCATGTCAGCCAAACTAACCACCTCATCAAAGCCATTTCCTCTATTCCACTGCAACGGTGGTGATTGGACTAGTTGCTTGTGTCCATTGGCCAATGCATCATTTGCTTTGCGAGGAGTTCCTTGCAAGGCAGGTTTGGAATTAGTCGTCTGACGGCTTTTTCCATGAGACTTTGATGCAGCATCTCCACTTGAATTTTCTATGACTAACATTGTTTGACTTCCCAGGATGTTCTTTTGGTTCTGAGAATTGGTTGAAACTGGAAGCTTGGATGATAGAGGTTCTCGGTTATAAACAGAAAAGGATGATAGGTTGGTGGATAAAGCAGCCTGGACCCAAGAATTCGCACGCTTTTGTCTATCTGATTTGAGTTTTAGTGCCTCTTCTGTTATGATTCTTTCATTATTATCTGGAGAAGAATTATCTGGAGAAGAATCAACTGGAATGGATTTAGCTAGCGAGTCAGCATTTATCCTCGCACTAATGAGGCTAGAATGAAGAGTTAAGAACTGCTCTATTGTAGGCTGCGGATTAAGTTCCTTAGCAGAATTGCTTAGCTCTGCATATACACTGTCAAGAACATCACAAACTGAGTATCAGAAACAATCTGGTATGCTGCATTGCAGGAGGGTGTCACAATATAATTCCTACCAGGCCATAGAAGAGTAGTTGTGGAATAAGATGATAAAACATCTATGGTTAAACTTAAACCCCAATCTGGCTGTATAATAATTGATTAACTAGCCTAACTAAAAGGATTGCGTAAAGTGTCAACATTTTCAGCAGGTTTGCGAAATGTGTTTAGGAAATTACCATAATTTTTTTCGAACTCGTCCTTTTAACTCAGCAAAGTATAGGTCGTTTTTAACAGTTTAACATTGCTGCATTCATACACATTGTGCTTCACTTTTATACAAATTTATCCGACAAATATTGAAAAAGTCTCCACTATGACTAAAAATGCCAAGAGTCATTGTCATAACACACATGAAATAGTTTTAGACTCAACGTTGACCTTAGCCCCCACAACCCACCCTTTTTCTGTCTTAGAAGTTAGTGAATTATTAGTATATTGAATGGATTTAGAAATAAACATTTAAATCAGTATCAGTAAGCACACATGAAATGCTTAACATAAAATTGATAAACTCAACATTTATATGACTGACTCGTAATGGATTAGGAAAAGTGTAACTCCAAATAAGACAAAATGACAAAGAAAATCCATATGTAGCATTGCTAATTTGCTATTACTGAAGTTTAGGATTCAAGTCACTATCCCACATTTTTCAGATTACATAGTCATGCTGGTATATCAGATGTCTATATAGGCAATCAATACTTCATCGGAAAGAATCAACATTAATTCAATAGTATCAGACTATCAGTATAAATCACTTGTTTTTTGCATAACCTCTAGAGGTGCTATGCTTTCATGAGTAACGAATTTACCAAAACAAACCTTTACCGGTAATGTATCTTTGTTTAAAATCAAAATTTCAATTTCTTGACATGAGCAGTCCAAAATTTCAACCATATTGAGAAACACTAAATATGGTAAAAACTGATCTGACATTGAGTAAAGTTGTTCATATAAATATATTCATACCTTAGACATTGCAGCAAACTCTCAGCAGCGGCAGCCTCTTGTATAGCTTCAGTTGCTGCCATCTGTGCTGCATCTCTGTGCTTCATGACTTCCTGCGACAGATGTGAAAATATAAAATGATAATGAAACATTACTGTCACAGAAATTCCTGTTCAAAACAGCATGATCAACAAGATAATCTAATAAATCACGCATAGAGTGGGTAAGCACATTGTTTAGGAACATGGGCAGAAAACATTTTACTATGGCAGACTCAGAAAACCAAAGAATAAAACTTGATCTGACAATTTACGTGTTGCATACTTGCTATATATGTATTTATGATGTCATAACAATAGCTTTAATAAAACTCATGATATTCATGTTCACAAAGAAACAACTACTTGAATATGTCCCATTTGCGTTACCCTCTCCCATCATGCCCTTAATTGAAAGTAGGGGACATGCCAATAGACTATATGAGAATAAGTACAAAACTTGCAAGTCATGATAGACAGCATCTGTAAACAGTTCCTCATATTATTTAACCAAATTCAAAAACAACCTAGTATATGAGGCTCTCATATGGGGGAGGGTAGATGTACACATCCTTACCCCCATAAGTGAAGAGGTTGTTTCCAAGAGTTAAACCCGTCACTTTCAGGTCACAAGGCTGCAACCTTCACTGTTAAGCCAAGGCTCAACCTCAACTAAATTTGAAGAGATGTCAATGAAAATTACAAGATTGCATATAATTATCTTCAGCACTCAGATTTGACAGCTAAGAGTCAAAAAAGCCAAAACTTAAAGGAAAAAAAATGTTTTCAGTGTTTTCAGGTGATTTACCCTCCCAAGCTTTGCAATAGATGACGGCAGTGAAGTCCATTGAACACTTGCATCTGTCACTTTTCTACTATTTGGAGAAACTTTGACCAAGTTTCCAGGAAATCCAGTGTTAGAAACATCTGACGATTTCTTTCCAACAGAAACTCTTTGCTTACTTGATTTTTCTTGTTCTTCCGTGGTTCCATTGGCAATAACTTTCTTTATAGATGTTTGAGTCCTGTGCTCTTCCTTGGAGGACTTTGTCTGCGGTTGCATCCTGCTCTCTTCTTTAGAGGGTAACTTTTCACTTGAAGTACTTCTCCTAGGAGTCTGAAACACCATAAAGTGAAAGTAAGAAAATAACTGTTTGATTGAGTCAAAAGATCATAAAGCAAATCAAATATGAAATACATAATATCGCAAGTGACATTACACTTATATCAAAGTAGTTAATATAATCTTTTCTTTAAGGAATGCATGAAACTAAATCTAACAAGTCTTGGAGTTTGACATCAGGAGTTGTTCAAAACGGCAAATTGTGAATCACACTTACTGAGCCACGGACCTCAGGCTTAGGATCACACTTGGCAGCTCTTAATTTGGATGTCTCTTTAGTCTTGACTTCCATATTCCCTTCCCAGCTCTTACGGAGCGCCTTAGCTCCAAGCTCAATTCCCTGAACCAAATTTCGGATCGGGTTTCCGACCGAAATTCTCTTCCCGGTTGGACTAGCTCCACGCACACCCTTTCCCATCTCCACCACTCCGACCTTAGCAGTTAGCTTGTCCACTCCCTTGATATTTGCCTGCTGCTTCACCCCATTGGCGAATTTCTCAAAAGAAGTAGGCAAAGAGTAGCAACTAGTAGGAGAAGAAGGAATAGCCCTTGAATTAAAGGACTTCAATCTCCCCAATGATTCCTTCTTCACATCAGCCACAGCTTTTGTTGTCTGAGATTTACTCTTGGCAAAAAGCACTGGTTTCTTGTCTGATTGCTCTTCATTAGTCAATCTCACTTTCTCCTTCTTCTCCTTCTCCAACACTTTCCTAGGAGACTTGGACCTCTCTAATAAGTCCAAGGGACCAGAACGAGCACTTTTCTTGTTAGCCTTAGCATTGCTAAGGAAGCCAAGTGAGTGAGTTGTTGCAACAATGTCCTCAGGGGTTCCAACACAAGCGTGTCTCCCAGGAACAGGCCTAACCCCATGAAGAATAGGAACTGGTGAAGCTGCCTCCAAGCGATCCACAAAAACAAACTGCCCCAGTTGAATCTTGTCACTGAGGATGAGATCATCATGTTCATCAGGGAGAGAGACATAGGTGGCATGAAGGGAATCAGAAACCTTGAGGTAAAAGCCTTGATTTGGGAACAACTCACCCCCTGCAAGCGCTGGAACAATGCTCACCACTTGCAAAAGAGAGGACCTGTGCTCACCAGTGACCTTCACATCCGTGTTCATGTGCTGCATGAGTTTTAGAAGCACCCCAGGAACCAGATTTGCCATCTTTTGCTGCTATGGCAGCTTCTATATGCATCACTCTCCCAATACTCCAAATGGGGTTTTAAAGATAGAAAAAAAAAAGGAAGCGTTTTTGGCCTTTCCCTCAAGTTTCAGTTCATTGTAGACGTTTTCTAAGCAAACTTGCAATTGATGGAATGCCAAATCTGAAATGAAACCATAAATGTCTGGCCAGACAGGGAAATTTTGCAATAAAATCTTAATCATAGACTACCCAAGTACAGAGGAAATTGAATACATTGAGAAATATTTTCAGATTTTGAAATAAAGAAGAAAGAAAAAGCCTTGGTTTTGGAAGCCATTTTTTAATACAAGAAAAGAACACTGAACAGCAAATAAGACAGCAATAAGCTATCAAAAAGAATTCCCCAACCATAGGATGAAGAGATTTTGTAATGTGTTTTGTATCATTGGGTGGTACAGCTAGGACATGAGAGGGAGAACCCACCCACCTTCCTAGAAACTCAAGCTAGACTGTAACAATCATAGAGCCAGTGACAATGATGCAAAGTCCAGAAAAGGGAGAATTATTCCTCCTTTGAAAATGGTTTGGAATTGGAGTCTTGTACACTAAACAATAAAATGATCATAAAAGCTTTGTTTTTCCACACTCTACACCAATAAGTAAAATTTAGAAAACCCAATTCCTTTGTGGAAACTACCTTTTTTGGAGCTGTGTCATGTTTGACAATGAAATGGGATTTAGATAAACTCAAAAAAGTTTTTAAGGAATATAGAGGTAAAGGTATCAGAGATCACACCTGTTATATGACCAAATTAAAATATCTAATATCAGTCTTCTTATTATAGATTAATTTTGAAAGATTAAATTAAATTTACAACTTACCTTTTTAAGATAGAATTTATTTTAGCAAGTATTATTAGATTTATTAAATCACATATTACCGAATTATTATTTTACTACTTGTAAATGTTCAAACCTCAGACTAAGAGAGATGTGTTAAATTTCATATATTAACTAATAATATAATTAACTTAAAAAATAAAATACATAAATAGAAAATAATCTTTATAAATTGGTTTTATAAAGATATTAGATAATGAAATGGGATTTAAATTTTAGATAAACTCATAAAAAGGTTTGAGGAAAATAAAGGTAAGGGGTATGATAATTGGTAGCATGCTTATTGCATGATTGATATGAAAAGAGCTGTCAGTGTCTGACAAATACATCTAAACACACATGCACTTCAATTCATACAATATAAACAAGAATATGAAACCTGAACTTGACCCACTCTAGTTTTGGCTGAGTTACTGAAGAGAGGTAGTTTGTATTAATGAAGCTCATCAAAAAGGGCATTAAGTCATTAACAAATTCTGAGAAGGACAAAGGGAGAATCTGTGCAGAGCTACACTTACTATATATTTTTGTGTCCTTGTTCCTATTTTTATTTTGAATTATGAGTAAAGTGGGTATCTTTTTCCAAAAAGATTCCAATTTTGTAATGTAGATAGGGGTGAATGCAGGAAGGTGCATGTGCCTGGTGTTAAGAACAAGGTAAAGCTGTGTCGGCTACCTAAAAAAAACAAGAATCACGTTATGGTGGAACAAGCACTTCATTATTTATCCCATGACAACAAAAAATATCAGTTTTCTCAATACCAATTCTTATTATTAAATTAGGAAAATATTATAAAAAGTGTAATTATTCGAGCAATACTTTTTTTTAAGATGTTTCCAATTTTTACCAAAAACAAAGTATTGCTGGAAGAATTACAAAATAATATTTTTTTATAAGATTTAATTATATTTTTAGTTTCTATTTTTTCATGATCCTTTTCTTTTAGTTTCTATTATTAAAGGTTTTAGTCTTTCACAAACATTTTTCTTTAAATTAGTTCCTGTCATTATTTTATGTTTGATGTCGTTTATGTGACATTAAAATTCATTAATTTTTTTTATATGGGATGTTATTTCGTGTTGTAAATTATATATAATTTTTTTCATGTTTTATTATTAATATTTATGTATTTTCAATGTAATAAATATTTTTAGGTTTAGTTACTCTTCCAATTTCTTATAGTTTTGCAAACTTCTTTTAGTCTATGCAGTTAAAAATGTCTAATTTTAATCTCACACATACATACAATTTTTGTTCTCCTTTAATTCTTGTCACAATTTTTATATGGATTAGAATATAAAATTTATGAAACTATTGGAACTAAGAGAAATATATATATATATATATAATTAATT